GATTACCATAAGGTAATTAAGCTAAATTGGGAGACAGTTTTCTTTATATCATGACTTCTGCTAGAATGTGAGAATCCAGGAAATATTGTACAATAGTCTTATACCAATAGTCAAAACATATTACTGTGTATGAATTGGTGTCCAGTTACTAATACAGTTTTTCAAGAGCACAATTATTAACTAGTCTTTTCATATATAGAAACTTGTGATTCAAATCCTAAATCACAAGTAAATGGAAATAAGACTACATGAAACATGTGCCATTGGTTTATCTTGCATTTCAGCCTTATTTCTCAGCCCATCAGAAAGATGGTTTTCCAAAGCTTTGTGAGGTAAAAGTCACTATCTCCATTTAGTAAACTCTAACAGAGAAGTGGAGAGGCAAAAGAATGGAAGCAGAATCCCTTTTTAAGGTTGATGAGAACCTCACAGTTTTGGTTCCTGACTGAAGCTAAATATCAAGAGGGTTTTGTCTTTTTCTGTTTCTTTTATTATTATTTTTGAGCCATCTATGCAGACTTAGTTGTATCACCTTTAGGCATTGTCCAGTAAATGTACTTCCTTTCGTGAATATTTCCCAACCTGTGAACTGTATCCTGCTAGATGCTGTGCATTGGTTTCTTTAACTATACTTCGCAGTTCTTCTGGAAGATAGCACAAATGACCATTTGCTTCTGAGAGTATTTGCCTCTCACTTTGTCTTTTGCTTGAAGGGCACGCAATAGATATAATTTATTTAAAAAAATTTGACCATTGAATTTTGTATTTCTCCTTCTCCCTTTTCCCTCTTTGCCCCCTACACCCTTCAACAAAATACCCCTCTGCCCCTCAAAAAAAAAAAAAAAAAAAAAAAATACAATGTGTATAATTGATTATATGTGTAAGTTTTGTATTGTTGACTAAAGTTTGGGCATACTACTCATAAGGGCAGATAACTTTTTATTGCACATTTGAATATACAGGTAGTGGTTGAGAGTGGCTTACAGTATACATAATATGTAAGTGACTATAATTAGAACCAAATGTAAAAATATTATTCTTTGGTCCTTAATGATGGAAAAATTGTATGGCATGGCAAAAGCTTTGCCGCGAGTACTTTCTTTTGAAGAGGCAAAAAAAAAAAAAAACATAAAAAAGATTTTAGGTATCAGCTATAAATACTAGAGATCTTTTTCGTTTACATGTTCTGTTACTAAGCAATGTGAAATATGCCACTCTGTAGTTCACTTTAAATGCTCATGCAATTACACGCTTATACCATAAACTTAAACCAGGGTTAGTACTTTGTTTTCCATGATGAAACATTTGTATATGTTTTGTGTATCTCCGCATCCACTCACTATGGCAATAGGTGTAGTTAGCTGTGCTTTCTCTCCCTGAGAGAACACCTTTAAGCTCCCTATCTTGTGAAAATCTTTGTCTTAATGGAAACCGATCAACTAAAATTAATATTTTATTGTGTACCTTTGCAGTGAGACAATGTAAACGGATACATTGTAAAGTCAAAATATAAGCATGCTGCAAAGGCAAGAGTAATAGGGATAAGAATAAGGTTATTGCAGCCTTAACTCATTCCGATGTGCTGACCATTTCATATTACAACTTTTTTAATATTGCATTCACTACAGACCTGCAGTATATCTGTTGGAAAATAGTGTTTCATAAATAATATCACTTTGCAGTCTAAACAGAGGACACATGCAAGGAATAACTTCAAGTAAGAATAGGACCACTTATGAATGGATGACTGGAATCTTGAAAACACTCAGTGCTGCAAAAGTAATTCTACTCAGCTAAGCCTCCGATCCTGCAAAAAGATCAAGAAAACAGTTTCCACAGAACCCCTGTGCAGGCCTTAATATGTTCACGATCTCCCTATAAATAGTGAGGTCTTTTCTTTTAGTAAGCACTGGATGCTATTGTGATGATGTTGAACTCAGTAGTCTTTCCATCAAAATCTTACTTATAAAACACCAAAAATTCAGTGTTAACGTAAATCATGTGACATTCCTGTTACTGTTAAAGCTAGTCAAATTGAATTTGCGGGGGGGGGGGGTTCAACCAGCTTTTTGATGTTTCAATGAAAAGTTTTCGAAGTCTTGTTGTTAATTTTATGAAAACTATTTGTGTGTGACCTGGTTTACTTAACCCTCCTTTCATTTGACAATACATTCTCCCCCCCTCCCTCCATTTCAGCTCTGGGGGATGTTCAGCTGGACCAACAGGGGAAAGACCACCTGTGACAAGGCTGTTGGAAGAGGGAGAGAAGAGTTGATATACCTAGATCCCTACCAACTTCAGGGTCCATTTTGGTCAATTTCACGGTCAAAGGATTTTTAAAATGGTAAATTTCACGATTTCACCTATTTAAATCTGAAAGGTCAGTGTTTTAATTATAGGGGTCCTGACCCAAAAAGGAGTGGGGGGGAGCATACCCCCTACAGTAGTAGGGTGGCAAAACTGTGACCCCCCTAAAATAACCTTGTGGCAACGCTTTTGGGTCAGGACCCCCAATTTGAGAAACATTGGTCTCCCTCAGTGAAATCTGTATAGTATAGAATAAAAGTACCCAAAAGACTAGATTTCATTCTCTGATGTTTTTCATGGCTGTGAATTTGGTAGGGCCCTGCTCATGCCCCATTCTTGTATATTATGCCCTCAGGGGAGGCAGCAGCTATTCTGTTCTGGTTGTTGCCCCACTCTCCCACTTGAATAATCGAGACATAGTTTGAGCTGTTTCTAAGATGCTGTGGGTCTGACCAATCACTAGTTTTCAGTACAGCTATACTGCCAAAAACCCTTAGTGTAGATTCAGCTTATACCAGCAGCAAGAATTATTTGGTGTAGTTAAACCATCTCCCCAACTACCCTAAACTATGCCAGCACAAAGATTCCTGCTGCTATAAGCTGTGCCAACATAAGGATTTTTGCCAACAAACCTATCTGAGTTCAGTGTGATTTCTCCCTCCCACCACCTCTCCAGTGCCGTTGCTCAGCCACCAAAATTTTGTAGTGTTGACCTGGCCTCAGCGTTGGGCTCAATCTTTGGCGTTAGGCTGAAAGGCCAACCCTGAAGATTGGTTATTTGACATGGTGACATTTAACAGCACAGTGGACCTAAATGTATGTAATAGTAGATCTCAAAGTACAGGTACTCTTCCAAAGAAGGTATCATTACCCACATTTTACAGATACTGGTAATGTCTGGAGGGTTTGTTTGTTTTTCTGGCGGGGGGGCCAGGGGAAGGGGTGTTAACGTACCCTAAAATTGTGGCCTTCGCATTGAAACACAGACATGGGAATAGATTTTATTCCCCTGCATGTCTTGATAAAGGAAATTTCATACTTGTTTTGACTTATGTAGAGCCTGCCTCAATATATCAAGGTTTTTATTTGGACTCTGCCCCCTCAGTGTGAATTCATAAAGGTGATTTTTTTTTTCAGTCCTTTCTAACTGTACTGAAGCAATTGCTTTAAGCAACCTGAGTTTGCCTTTCTAATTGACAAAGTGTCACTAATAGAGCAGACAGAAACTGGAATTCCTGTTCCTTGGGAAATTCTGAAATTTCAGAAACAATAGTTCCAAATTGGAATGAAATCTCAAAATTTTGTTTTGGAAAAAGTCAGTGACATTTTGTGACCTTTCTGAAACTTTTCTGAGTCTCCCTATGCTACCCCAGACTCCTAGCAGGTGTGCAGGGAAACCTTGCCTAGTTCCCATCAGGTTTTCACAAAATTGTCACATTCCAGTGGAATGCTTATGCTTTTAAATATCTTCCATCAGAAAACTGTCTATCCAGCTCTTGTCATTAAGTTATTGTAGGCTATACCTTGACTAGCGGCAGCACTCCTAAACCTTTTGCAGGCTTATAGCAATCTGAAAATAGGTGCCTGAAAAATCTGGCATAGTTCATAAATAGCTACTAATCAACTATTCGAGTTCAAAGTGTTTGCCTATTATCTTAATAGTACTTGATAAGAGTACTTGGCTCAGATGGAGCAAAGAGGGGAACTGGGATTAGAGCAAAGATCATTTTTGTATAGTCCAGCTCCTGTTAAGTTTGTAATAAACATCAAAATAATGGCTAGGTTTACGTATTGAGCGATTTTGTCCATATAAATTCTAACAAATGTGTTATAACAAGTTCCCTAAAGAAATGACCTTTCTAATGATTCGTTCCTATTGTCTAGCCTCGAGGTTGCGTACTGTAATCTGAGGCAAGGTTAGCTTAAGGCGTTTTCCCTTTTGTTCGTATTGTACTAGTACGTGGCATCCCTTCCCTTCCTTTATATCCCCGGCCTGGTTGTCGGGCCGAAAGGGAGGGGTCCTCCCTTGCCCCCTGGAACGAACGCAGGAGGGGCCCCCTCTGGCTGGAGGACAGGGCCTCTGCTCTAGCGTTGTGGTTTCCTCCTACTAGCTTTTAGCCCTACCCTGGGTGGTGGCGCCCCCATGCGACAGCACTACGGTGCAGGAGCGTTTTCTCCCGCGGTGGGGATAGACTGGTTCCCCCCCCCCCTTGGCTCCCCGGCTAGGGTGACCAGATGTCCCGATTTTATAGGGACAGTCCCTATATTTGGGGCTTTGTCTTATATATGTGCCTATTACCCCCCAACCTGTCCCCATTTTTCACACTTGCTGTCTGGTCAGCCTATCCCCCTCCCCTCCGGTTAGAGGCTTTGTGTCGCTCCCCGTGCCAAGCATGGGACTCGGGTCCACATTTGCCCCTGCGGGGGTGACGCTGCGCCCAGCAGCCCGGTGTTCCCGCCTCCCCTGGCCTGGGCGTGCTGGGCTGGGGTAAGGCGCGATGCTCTGCGCCCTTCACCCCCGAGCTGCCTGTGCCGACGAGGCGCGGCTCCTTGCGGTCCCTGCGGCCGGGCGGGGCAGTACCTCACCGGCTGGAATGCGGCTCCGCCGGCTCCGGCCACGCCTGTCGCTCGCGGAGCTTCCGCCGCCCTGGGGCCCCTCGTCTGTCCTCCCCAGACGGGCCGTGCTAGTCTGCAGCCCGCGGCAACCAAGGGGAGAGACGCAGCCGGGCAGGGGTAAGAGGCGCGGGGCCAGCCCCGGGCGGGAGAGCGGCTGCTGGTGGCAACCCCGGCGGTTAGTGCCAGTCCAGCACCATGGGGGGCTGCTAAGACCCAGTGGGGTCTGTCTGTCCATCCCTCACAGCTGTGGTATCTGAGGGCTGCTGAAGGGAGCAGGGATCTGAATGAGTAGCGGTCCACACATCTGGATTCGCATCTAGACCGGCCGGTTTGAACGCAAGTCCATGAACCGGTGTAGATCTGAGCACGCGTTGTGTGCTTAGGCAGCAGCAGCGGGCTAAGTGCTTGTCAGCCAGAGAGCATTTCGGGGCTGTAAGGAAAGCAGATGCAGCTTGTCTTGTTTAAACCTCGAGGATGGGGAGCTGGGTTTGTCTTGTGCAGGGCCGGCTCTAGGACTTTTGCCGCCCAAGGCAAAAACAATTTTGGCCGCCCCCCCCCCTCGCCTCGCCTCAACTCCGCCCCTTCCCCAAATCCCCAGCCCTGCCGCCTCCCCCCAGGCTCTCAAGTCTAGGAGGGAGGGAGGGAGGGGGAGAAGCGGCGCCCGCGCCGCGGCCGCTTGGGATCTCCCCCTCCCTCCCAGGTTCTCAAGTCTGGGAGGGAGGGGGAGCTGCGGCTCGCAAAACGGCTGTTCGCGTGCCGCGGCCGCTCGGGATCTCCCCCACCCTCCCAGGTTTGAGAGCCTGGGAGGGAGGGGGAGACCCCGAGCCGCCGCGGCGCGCGAATCAGCTGTTTCGTGCGCCGTGGCAGCAGCGGAGGTGAGCTAGGGCGGCCGGGGCACATTTTTAGGGGCGACATTCTGGCGCCGGCCATGCCGCCCCTAAAAATGTGCCGCCCCAAGCACCAGCTTGTTTTGCTGGTGCCTAGAGCCGGCCCTGGTCTTGTGTTGTGATGCCAGCTTCAGAGCTTATGGGCTTTTCCTCTGAATGCTTGAGAGCTCTATCCTGGGAGGTCCTGAGTGGCTCTTGGAAGGTGAGGGCACTCCTTACCTGTTGACTTTAGTGGGACTTGCATGTGCCCAGTACCTCAGGATCAGGCCTGTGCTCACTAAAATGTTAAAACTGAAGTGTGTGTATGGGTTGATTGAGTCTCCAGTTTGTATCAAAGTGCAGTTGTGTGCATCAGAGATCAAAGGAATAAACTCGTCTCACAATGTGGCAAAGTCCACTTCTAATGGCGAAAAAAAGATTAATTTTAAAACACTGCTTGGGTGTAAGGTACAGGTGCTTCCGGCTAATTATAACTTTTATATTGTCCACTTTAGTAACCAGGATGTCACACAAGGCAAGTTCAAGTACACAACAGAACAAGCAAGGAAGCAAACTTGCTGATAGCAAGTGGGAAAATCACTGTGGGGGCAATACTGAAAGGGGAAAACTGGGCTCCTGAACAGCTTTGGTTGTTGTTGGATTGACCCTAAGAGCTGTTTTGATGCCGTCTCTTCAGGGGTCACTTGCAGTTTTGCAAATCCATGCATGACTCCGTTTCTTTTGAAAGGTGAAAGTGGAGAGGGCTTGTGGCAGGGATGCCATTTCAGATTTGGGGGGAGGCAGACTTTAACCATGATTCCAGGGGATACTTTTAGGCACTTGAAAACTCTAGTTTTTTTGGCAGATAACTTAGCAATTAGCTGATAGGAGCACTGTATCTAATTCCTATATAAAAGAAAGAAAAATAAATAAATATTAGACCCACTCAGCTCTAATACTACCATGTTCTGACATCTTGTGGCAAGTCACTTAAGGGACACTGGTTAGGTTTAAAATGTTAATGTATATTCTTATTTTGTTAATAACTCTGGAGAGAGAGAGAGAGACCCCATCAGGACTCCTGGGGTCTCTCTCAGCTCTGGTAGGGGAGTGGGGTCTAGCGGGTTACAGTCGGGGAAGGGGAGGAGGGGGAGAAGGCAGATAAATCTGGGTTCTATATAAGAACATCATAATGGGCATACTGGGTAAGACCAATGGTCCATCTAGCACAAAGTGGCCAATACCAAGTGCCTCAGAGGGAAAGAACAGAGCAGGGAATCATCAAATGATTCATCCCGTCGCCCACTCCCAGCTTCTGGCAAACAGAGGCTAGGGACACGCAAAACATGGTGTTGCATCCCTGCCCACCCTGGCTAATAGCCATTGATGGACCTATCCTCCATGAACTTATCTAGTTCTTATTGGAACCCTGTTATAGTTTTGACCTTCACAACATCCCCTGGCAAGGAGTTCCACAGGTTGACTGCGAAGAAATATTTTTTGTTTGTTTTAAATCTGCTGCCTATTACTTTCATTGGGTGACTCCTGGTTTTTGGGTTATGTGAAGGAGTAAACAACATTTCCCTATTCAATTTTTCCACGCCATTCTTGATTTTGTAGACCTCTATCAGATCCCCCTTCTTAGTCATCTCTTCCAAGGTGAAAAGCCCCAGTCTTTTTAATCTTTCCTCATACAGAAGGTGTTCCATACCCCTAATTATTTGTGTTGCCCTTCTCTGTGCCTTTTCTAAATGCAATATATCTTTTTTGAGATGAGGTGACCAAATCTGCATGCAGTATTCAATATGTTGGCATACCATGGATTTATATAGAGGCCATATATGATATTTTCTGTCTTATTATCTATCCCTTTCCTAATGATTCCCAATATTCTGTTAGCTTTTTTGATTGCCACTGCACATTGAGCAGATGTTTTCAGAGAACTATCCACAATGACTCCAAGATCTCTTTCTTGATTGGTAACAGGTAATTTAGACCCTGTCATTTTATATGTATAGTTGGGATTATATTTTCCAATGTGCATTACTTTGCATTTATGGACATTGAATTTCATCTGCCATTGTGTTGCCCAGTCACCTAGTTTTGTGAGATCCCTTTGTAACTCTTTGCAGTCAGTTTTGGATTAAACTATTTTGAACAATTTTGTATCACCTGCAAATTTTGCCAATTCACTGTTTACCCCTTTTTCCAGATAATTTATGAATAGGGTGATCAGATGTCCTGTTTTTAAAGGGACTGTCCTTTATTTAAGCCCTCCTGCAGGTGTCCTAACTTCCTTAAAAACAGGCAACTTGTCCTGTATTTTCTGTCTCCCTCCATCAGTACTGGAGCATCCTGCTACTTGCTGGATCCCTGCTCACCAGCCCACTAGCAATGAGTGTGTGTGTGGGGAGGGGGTCCAGTGGATGCTGATGGGGGTGGGGGTGCAAGGCTAGTGGTGGGGCGAAGATGCAGCGCATAGGGCTGGCTGCTCCCCCATACTGGTCTGTCAGCGCAGCCCCCGCTGCGTGCCGGCTGTTGGCCAGCAGGGCCCTGACCACTGTCCTGTTTCCAGCTGGCACTGGCTGCGTGCTGTGAGCTGCGGTGGCTGATGAGTGTGGGCAGGCACCAGGCAGCGGGCCAGTTACATGTCGTCTCTGCTGCCCACTCATTGGCCCTTTACATGCTCCCCCTCTCGCTGTCCTCTCCCTGTTTTGCCCCTTCCCCCCTACCAGCCCTGCTGCTCCTCCATATCCCCCCCGCCCCCGCCAACAGGTGGAGCGTATCCCGCTCCCAGTGCTGTGCAGAGAACCGGCCCCTGGTCGGAGTGCTCAGCTCACCAACAGCCTGGCTGGCATGCTCCTTCCTTCCTTCCTTCCTTCCTCCACTGCCTCTGGCTGGGCTTACACCCCAGGAAAGCCCAAGACCCTTTGGCCAGGAGGGGGCGAGCCCTGCATGTGCCAAACCCCACACAGCGCTGGCACAGGGAAGCCTCTCAACCCCTCAGCTAAGTTCTGGAGTGACGGGTGGGGAGGGGCGATTTCCAGCCTGTTCATGCCCTGAACTTGCAAGCTCCACAGCAGGCCCCTGGGCAGGAGCTTAGCACCCTCTTCACCTGCCCCTCCCCCCCTCGGGTCCTGCCCTCCAGGGAGCATGGGGCTGCTCCAACCCCTAGGCACCCTCACCTGCTGAGCCATCTCTCTGGCCTGGTTCACTGAAGCCCCTGCAGTCAGGTTCCCTGAGCCCTAGTGTACAATGCATCCTTAGGGCTTAACCCTTTCCAGCCCATGCTATAGCTGGGGGACAGGAGATGATCAGCAGCAGCCTGGAGGGGTTACCTGCCTTTCCACACTGTGTGGGCAGGAAGGGACAAGCTGCATCCAGCCACGGGCGGGGGGAGGGGGGGGGAAGAGATGAGCTCTGCAAAGACACGAGCCAGGTCATCCCTTCCACCTCCTCCTCCCCTGCAGCTGGAAGCAACTCCTGTCCCTTCCCTCCCACACAGTGCCAAAAGGCTGCTGCTGGCGACATTCTGGTTTGAACCTGACAGAAATCTGGGGAGGGGGCATGTGATCCTGCGCGCGCACACACACACACACACACACACACACACACACACACAGCCTCGGGAAGACAGGAGAGATGGGTCCGTCCCAGGGGCCCAGGCAGGCATGGAGGGTGGAAAGTGCTGGGAAGGGAGGGGAGGGTCAGTCGGTCAGCCCCCCCGTGTGAAAGAGGTGTATGTATGGGTGGGTGTGTGTGTCGCCCCTCCCCGTGTGAACCCTAAAACCTTAAAGATAAAAAGATAAGGTAAATAAAAAGAATCCAACTACTCAGTGTGACACTCTGTACCTCAGGGGAATACCTTTCACCCCCATGTTCATCCTTATAATATGATTGTGTGGTATCCAATGCAAAGTTTGTCATGTCGGGTGTCTTCGGAAGGCTCATGATGCACTGTTATAGTAATGCTATAGGTTGTAATTTATGTAAATTATGAGGCTGAAATTGTGTCCTCATGGCTTAAAACAAGCTCAGGCAAAACTCTCCAGGATCAGAGGGGCAGTTCACACCTCATCAGGGCATGTATGGGACAAACCCAGCCCAGCCTTATAGGAACAAAGGACATGGGCCTAGACAGCAACAAAGGATCTGTTGGACTCTTGAGTGAGTCATCCCCCTTCCCTTGGTCAGTTTGGGACTACGATGAGGTAATGCTCACCTGACTCTGAAGGGGTGGGGGGCAAAGCCAAGAGGGAAGAAAGAACATGATAAAAGGGAGAGACGTTTGCCATCTCCATCTACAGATACCACCACCAAGTGACTGAAGCGCTGATCAAAGAGGAGAGCCTGACTGAAGGGCAACCAGCCAGCCTGTGGTGAGATGCATCTAAGTTTGTAAGGGCACTGAAAGTATTAAGATCAGCTTAGAATGCGTTTTGCTTTTATTTCATTGGACCACATCTGACTGGTTGCACTTTGACCTATCATCACTTAAAATCTATCTTTTATAGTTAATAAATTTGTTTGTTTATTCTACCTGAAGCAGTGCATTTGGTTTGAAGTGTGTCAGAGACTCCCCTTGAGATAACAAGTTTGGTACATATCAATTTCTTTGTTAAATTGACGAACTCATATAAGCTTGCAGCATCCAGTGGGCATAACTGGACACTGCAAGACAGAGGTTCCTAGGGTTGTGTCTGGGACTGGAGATATTGGCTAGTGCCATTCGGTTGCATAATCCAAGCAGCAGCTGGCTAAAAGTGCTCACTCACGTAGCTGGGAGCAGCTTACATGCTAGAGGCTGTGCGTGAACAGCCCGGGAGTGGGGGTTCTCACCGCAGAGCAGGGTAATGCTGGCTCCCAGAATCGAAGATTAGAGTGACCTAGTAGATCTCCGGTCCAGATAACACCAGGGGAACATCACTCTCAGTATTTCTTTTTAACGGGCTCTGTCAACTCGATGTTAATTTGAACTTCTGTACTGCATAGTTCTGATTGATTGCTGTTGAACTTGCTTGAATATGAGTAATTTTACCCGGTGTCCCGTATTCAGGATAGGGAAATATGGTCATCCTATTTATGAATGTGTTGACCAGCACTGATGCCAGTACAGACTCTTGGGGAACACTCCTATTTACCTCTCTCCATTCTCACCATTTATTCCTACCCTTTGTTTCCTACCTTTTAACTGGAGTGCCTGGCAATGCTTTCAGGATCATCTCGCCTTTTTTCACTATCACTGTATGTCTACTGGATGCTGCTGGCAGACGCGGTGCTGCAGTGCTACACAGCAGCATCCCCTTGCCTTGCCTTGCGGACGGCAGACGGTGCAGTATGACTGGTAACCGTCATCGTCGTCCCGTGGGTGCTCTTGGCTGGCCTCGGTGAGGTCGTTGGGGGCGCCTGGGCAGACATTTGTGCTCCTGGCTGGCCTTGGTGAGGTTGGTCGGGGGCGCCTGGACAAAAATGGGAATGACTCCAGGTCATTCTCTTCTTTAAGTTTTGTGTAATGGAGATTCAGTCCTGCCTGGAATATCATGCCAGCTGGAGGCTTCTGCCTGAGATTGCTCTCCCAGTCGGCAGCACCACGCGGTCGCGCCTACCCCTTGCTCCCAGGGCTCACAATCATTTTGTGAGGGGTGTCCCTCCTCTAGTCCATCGGCTGGGGTCCCAAGTTCCCTCTCCGGTCCTCTGCAACAACAAACTCCCTCTCCCCTCACCTCGTTAAACCAGTAACACCCAGGGGCACTGAGTCCCACTCCCTCTGCATGCAAACCATTGGAAAACCATGAAAAGATAAGAAAATCCCCCACTTCGTCACAAAAAACACTTCACTTAGGACTGCTTACAGAATATTGGTTGGTTGGTTTTTTCTGTAGAATATGTTTCTGACCAAACTGATGGACCAATTATAGTATTCAGTGGTTGTTTGAGAATGTGGATATAGACTGAAGAGTGTTACCAAGCCTACTTTGGAAATGAGATATCTAGTTGGTGTAAAGGTCTTGCTTCAACAAGTTTATATTCGTATTATTATTGTAATTGTATTCCTTTCTAGAATAATGATTTTTAATCGTTTAAAAAATATTGTCCTATATTGTCTCACATCTTGTGAGATGGAAGTGTTTCCAGGTTTGTCCTATTTAGGTATGATCAGAAGTCTGAAGCCACCTAGGAGTGAAAAATTGATAAAATGTTATTAAGTTGGGTTTTTTGCTTAATATGAAACTCTTAATGACTTCCATTAAAAGCAAGTGAACCAGACCCTACATGTCATGCACATGCAAAATTCCTATGGATTGCAATGCGACTATTGGTGTGCAAATAGATTTTCAGCAAGTACCTGTGTTTGTTTGTTTTTTAATTGTTTTCTTTTTCCCTACAGATGGAAGACTGGGTTTATTGTCTCTCTCTTTTTTGTGCGGTGTTTTCTGCAAGAGTCCTTGGTTTTCCAGATGGAAAAATCAACCCAGCTTGTGATTCTATGTTACCTAGTCATGGTAACTTTGTTTCACAAACTACCTCAGCACCTTACGGGATCTCCATATCCAGCACTTCATTTGACCCAGGAAACAAGATCACAGGTAAATTAGAACTTTGAATAATTTGGAGTGTCTGGATGGGATTTAAATGAATGTAAAATTTTTAAAGAAATATCAAAGAGGCTTGTTATTTCAGCTCACTGACTGTGGCTGTTTCAGTGATATTACATTGTGCTGTGCAGAACCAGAATACCACTGTAGTTTTTACAATGTCTTGTGCTCTCCCCCAGTAGTCTAGCCTTCAGAATTCCAACAACATAGGACAAGACTGAGCCCTGTTCACAGGGGAACAACCTCCTGCAAGCCTCTAGTTAATCTCTGTTTGATTTAGCCATGTGTCCTATTTTATTGCTTTTGGTTTTAGATAGGTTTAGAATGTGCCTTTCATGGTCTTTAGGTGTATTTACATAACTAAAGTAAAAGCACATAGCTCTCTCTCACCTTTATATATAGTTCTTTGTATTTGTAGATCACAAAATTACAAACATTCTGCTTGCAGGAAATCTGCTGTTGTATGTAACTGATAATACAGAATTAAGGGGTCCAATCCTCAGTCTGCAATTCTTATTTCCTTCATTATGAAGATTCATATGTTCAGAATGCAATACACATTTTCACAAACAATACAAAATTCAGCTAGAATCAAACCGTCTGTCTGTCTAGTAAGAGGTGTGGAAGCAAGCCATACTATTTCTTAGAAAGGTGATACGAAGCTGAACGATGCTATAAGTGGTTATTACTTTCACTGTCTTATGTTGTATGCAGTGTTGTTGTAGCCATGTCAGTCCCAGGATATTAGAGAGACAAGGTTGGTTAGGTAATATCTTTGGATCAATTTCTGTTGGTGAGAGAGACACGCTTTTGAGTTTACACAGAGCTCTTCTTCAGGTCATCATCATTATTAGACAATGACATGACAGAGAGTGAGTGACAAGTAGCTAATATTTAAATTGACTATTTTAAGTAACTTCCATATCTTTTTCCCTCAGTGACTCTACAAGGAATTGACAATTCCACTTTTAAAGGATTTTTACTACAGGCCCGAGCAGTTAGCGGAGATGGTATTGTTGGTACTTTTCAAATCATAGATCCAAACACGCAAGGTCTTTTGTGTAACCAAGTTCAGGTATGTGGTCACATTTTAAACTAGTTTGTTGAACTCATAAGTTATTTTCCTTGTATTGTGTAAAAGACATGATAAATATTTTCTTTTTGCATTAGAGGTGACACTAAATGTGATCTGGAGGCAGCTTCATGTTTTCTAAAAAGTGTTTAATTGTGCTAAATCACTTTAAAAATAAAAGATATATGCTAGTTTTTCTGTGATGTAGACTAATGTCTGTGAAAGTAATAACAAATAGGGCTGGTTTGCAAAGGTAACAGTTTTTGTGGGAAATACTTTTTAAATGTTTTCAAAATATTTCAAAATTTTAAAACAGAAATTTCAGTTTTTGAAAAGCAGGAAAGTTTCTGGGTTTGAGTGCTCCCCCACTCCTCTTTCTTGGTTTCCCCCTCTCCCTTTTTTGTTTCCCCTATAAGAGGAAAAAAGGGGACGGGGAGAAAACAAACTAACAAAAAAACTGATGGGGGGAGGGTTGAAAATGAAACCAAATTACAAAACTATTTGATTTAAAACAAAACTAATTTTTTTTCATTTAATCAAAAAATTCTTTTGGTATTTGCCTTTGAAAAGCCTTTTGTCATTGTTGAAAAAACTTGACTCGTGGAGTTTTTCTGGAATAATTACTCTATGGGCTGGTCCACACTAACCCCCCAGTTCGAACTAAGATACGCAACTTCAGCTACGTGAATAACGTAGCTGAAGTCGAAGTATCTTAGTTCAAACTACAAGGTACTTACCGTGGGTCCACACACGGCAGGCAGGCTCCCCGTCGACTCCGCGTACTCCTCTCGCGGAGCAGGAGTACCGGTGTCGACAGCGAGCACTTCCGGGATCGATTTATCGCGTCTAGACAAGACGCGATAAATCGATCCCAGAAGATCGATTGCTTACCGCCAAACCTGGAGGTAAGTATAGACGTACCCTAAGTGTAGACAAGCCCTGAGAACTGCATCTTGGGGATCCAGATTTGTGTCTCAGTGATTTCTGCATCAAATGTGCCTAGTTTGTTCTAACAGCCAGCTTTGCAAATCATCTGGGCCCAGAGAACCAAGCGGAGTATTTTTTTTTGTCATGTTTCAGAGTGAGTGTAAACAATTGCATATTAAAATCATGCATGTTGTTTCCTATTTCCGTGAAAAAGCACAATTACTAGGTATGTAGCTAATCTTGTTTTCTAGCACTGTGGCCTCCATTCAGATTCAAAGTGCTTCTTTGAACTTAGCTACCAGGTCTAGGTGTTACAGCATTAATGGGGAACATACCCCTGTGATTCCACCTACTTATCTTTGATTTCAGGCAATTGCAATTGAAAGAGTTTAAGGATTATCTTCAAAGAGAAGGCAGTTTGGGTTAGATGTTTTTACTGTCAAGGGAGGAGATAAATGTTTGGGAGCCACTGTAGGATTCTTGCCCCTCTGGCCACTGGACAGGGGACTTTGTATTTTTCTTTCCAGCCCAATAGCTGCTGGTCACTCAGCAATATAATGGTGTCAGAGGAAACTGCCTGCCTTCCCCTTCCCTCCCCCCCCCCCCCCCCCCCGTCCCGATTTTTCATACTTGCTGTCTGGTCACCCTATGGGAAGAACACTGTACTGTTCAAAGGGAATAGCTGGCTCAGAATGAAAGGATGAGTGGAAGCTCTAAAAGTCAGCCAGCTTGAACCAGTTAATATCCTGGATCACTGCTTCAACGAGAGGAGGACCTCATGATATTTCAGGGGGAAAAGTGCATTACTTTCTTTCATTTGAGCATTCGCCTTGGTTTTTAATTGCAGAATTCTTCAATGAGTCACACAGATCGCAACAGCAAGCAAAATGTAACAGCAATTTGGGTAGCACCATCAGGCACAGGAAACGTACAATTCAGGTACATTTATGATTCCTAATATACTAACATTTCATAAACAAATTAATTTGCAGAAGGAATAAAATCTGTTAGATTTTGCAAAGGACTTACCCTTAGCAATATTGTACTGACAGTGATTTGAGATTTACCCATCATTTTTAGTACCTCCTGGCCTTTGTTTCATTTCTAATACTTTTAAGATATGCTGGCAAGATGAGGTTTCATCTTTTCATAGTTTTGTCTTATCATAAGTAGTTACTGAACAATGTTTTCCCAAACAATGAACACCCTTAAAATTAAATCCCACTTCCATCTCTGAAGGTAAATGCCTCTGTCTATTTGAAAAAGTCAGTATTGATTACTGCCAGCAAGATGTCTATCATATATCTAGAAACATTACTGGTGCCTTATCAGAACATTTCCCCAAATAATGGTTCAAAACGATGTGTGTGGTGTTTGTTTTGTTTTGTTTCCAGAGCAACTGTTGTTCAGAATGTGAGTGTTTTCTGGGCTAATGTCAGAAGTCAAACTCTTGTGTCTTCCAGTTCCTCCGTTGACTCAGTAAGTTGTTTCATTTTGATATTATTGTGAATATATTGTTTCACAAATATACATAACAGTGAATCATATGAATGAATTTGGGGCAATTTTTCCAGGAAACTTTTGGTGAGAGGTTTTATTAGAGCTAAACTCCTTCAAAGATTATTATGTTTTCTAATCAAATACTGTAAACTATATTTAAACTTAGATGTTTAATTTGCTTTTAGTCCATTTTAAATACCTTTATGATAATGATGGTAGTTTTACTTAATTGTAAATTATAACTATTATAGCAGTTGCCTCTTGGACAAAATCTGCAATTGTCGGTCTTAATTTAAGAGAGACCGAGAAGGGTAATAGCAAAGATGTTGTAGACCAGGATTGAGGTGATTTGATAGAGCTACATGAGGAAAGATTGTATAGCCTCTGTCTGAACCAGACCTATCTCAAACCAATTAAATTAGTTTTCATGTACAGAAACCCTCCTGTCTGCACTCATGGCATTCCCTCAGATTTCTGTCGCTGTCACAGTCCACCTGGAGGGTCTATTCTTTAAACTGCTGCCTTAATACTCAGAGGTGATGTGCGGAACCTCCAGTCCATTTCTACCAATGCCATCCATTCAGTACAGAACTAGATTAGCGGGCCCTGCTAAAGGCTCTTCTGTCTCTACTCTCTCTCTAATCCTCAGAAGGCAATCAAACATACAGGACTTAGTGTGACCAAATAGTCGCACCAGCTGAATTTTAAAGCTTCAAGTCATCTGTCTCCATTGCTTTTTTTTTAGTGCAGCATGTCCTGGGTAATTCTGAAGGTAGGGGGTTGCAACTCACCATTGATATGTGGACCGGTGGTCAGGCAACTGACTATGTTAGCAGAAGCAGCAGCAGCACAGGCAACAAGTATGCCCTCAGTCAGCAGCATACCTCACTGGAGGGGGGTGATTTTGAACAGCCGCACACTTGCAGGGACATGGAGAACCTGTGTGCTCTCTCAGAGGAGTGGCTAAGGCCCCTCGCTCTCTCTGCTGAAGTTGTGGCAGCAAACAGTGAATTAAATATCACAAAGGCTGTGCATGATTTTAGTTTCCAGCATGTTCCTTGCCTTGCTCTCTGCCTCAGTCTGGTTTGTAAGGGAATTTCTGAAAGAGGATGCCCAGTCCAGGCACTGCTCTCAACAACCAGGAAGATCTGCAGCCACATCAGCCGATTCTGGGAAGTGTGACACAACCTTACACAGCCACAGGCTCACTCTTTCTGCCAGGCCACCAGATGAAGCAGGAGGTGGTGACCAGATGGAAGGCCATCTTTTACCTGCTGGAATGTCTGTATGGGCAGAGAGAAAAGCTAAAAGTGGGGAGTCATCACAACCGGGGAGCAGCAGTTTTGGTAAGACTGTGCTTCAAGTGGCCTGGCTCAATTTGTATTTACTTATTTATTTTTGGCCGAGGGACTGACCCCTGGCAACTTCCCCCAACTTTTAAGCACTGAGAAGCTGTGCAAGTGTTGTACATCCATGGGCCCACACAAGCATAGACAAACACCAGCCTCCACTTGTCACCCTTCTGCTGACTGCTCTAGAAGCTAATCAACATCCAATGGCATTTTGGTGAGGCTATATAGCTGGTCAGAGGGAGTGATGTGGGAATCAGCCAAGAAATTCCCTTGCTGTGCCTGCTGGAGAGAGAACTGACACATGGAGACCCTCTTCCATCAACAGAGCAAAAGCACTGGGGAGTCGTGCTGTCTGCTCTTCTGGGTAATTGCCATCTCCAAGCCATCAAGGAGAAGCAGCAGTATTTGATGGCAACATGTCTCAACCCCTGATTGAAAGCACCATGGCTTCCTTCATCTCAGATAACAGGGATGCTGAGGCAGCCATAACCTACTTTAAAAATCACCTGGGAAGTATGGTGGCTGAAGTCATTGCTTGTGGCTCTCCAAAACATAGGCCACAGCATCATCCCCACCAGGAGGCTCCGACACTCTTCACTGCTGGCAGTTGAAGAGGGATGTGCGACCAGCATTGCATCAGCTGACTGTCGCCCACCTCTCCTATCCACCATCACGCCGGCATTTGGAGCACCTCTTTAGTGCACCGGGCAGTATAGTCTCTGACAGGTACACGACTCTCCCCAGGGAATGAGGAGAGACTATCATTCATCCAAGTGAATAGAAACTGGCTTCCCCAGAAGCACATCCTGATGGGAAGACCCTGAGGGAAAAGAGCCACTTCTCTCCGGCCGCTGGCTGCGTGGCTGCCCCTGCTCCTCCTGAGTCCTCCGGCCTGTGCTCGCAGGGCCGCATTCCAAAAGGGGTTTTAGAGCTGCAGGCCAGGGCCCCGGGGCCCCCTTAGCCCAGGGCCCTGCAGCCCCTAAAGCCCCTGCATTCCGGGTGGCCCTGCCTGACAGGAAGGAGGGGACCGCTCACAGAATCATGGCCATGGGGGCAGTGCTGCACTGTGCAGAGCCACCTGCACACCCCCTGCACCAAACAGGAGCTGCCCCAGGTAAGTGCTCTGCACCTCCTGCCTGCTCCAGCCCTGAGCCTCCTCCCGCACCCCCACCCTGAGCGCCCTCCCGCACCCTAACTCCCTCCCAGACCCTGCACCACCAGCCCTGAGCCCCAGGGGTAAGCCAGGGGCACCTCCCCACCACAGTACAGTATATAATGCCTTTTGTCTGCCCCAAAAAAATTTCCTTGGAACCTAACCCCCCGCATTTACATTAAATCTTATGGGAAAATTGGATTAGTTTAACATCGTTTCACTTAAAGTTGCATTTTTCAGGAACATAACTACAATGTTAAGTGAGGAGTTACTGTATTTAAAAAACAAAGTGAATGTGAAAACCACGCATGGGTCGGATCCCACTAGATTAGATTTGTTAATTAGTCAGTGAGTTCCTGTCAACAAGTCAACACAGTTTTTTTTTAATTTCTCTCACATCTGGTCTGGCACTGGTTTCAGTGTAGAAACCCCAGAGTAGGTGGGTGCAATGTACTGGAAGGATTTTGGATCACCTGTACGAGCCCATGATCAATAGTAGAATTTATGGTTGAAATTTCCCATTTGTTGTTTTAGAAATCAGTTTCCTAAATAAAACAAAGGTGTGTTTAAAATGAGAGGTTGGCTCTAGAACAGTTTCATTAAGTTGTTTTTGGGGGCATAATGAAGGAGTGATGAGCAGGGATTGGGAATACCTGCCCCCACGGGCCAAAGCAGGAGGAAAAGACTCTAAGCAAAGTGTAGCAGTTGTGGGTGTCAGTAATATCACACGCACAATGCAAGTGAATACTGTATGCAGTCAGGAGTCAGCAGCAGCATCACACACTGTTAGGGAGCAGAAAGGAGGCCCCTGCAGGACGCTAAATGAGCCATGTGGCAGCAGTGTTGTTTATACATGGAAGCCACACAGAGTTGTAATGTGTGTGGCTAAGAGCCATCTTCATACTCTAGTAATGCAGGGCAATTATGTTGGAGATGGTGTTCTAGGCCCAGTGTTGCCAACTCTCATGATTTTGTCAAGTCTCATGATAATTATTTTCTTTAAAGCCCCAGTTCTGATTATTTCAGCCTTCATTCTTAAAGAAAAAGTAAGCTTCTAGCCCGGGCCGGTGCAAGGAAGTTTCACGCCCTAGGCGAAACTTCCACCTTGCGGCCCCCAGCCCTGCGGCAGCTCCCCATACCCCCCTCCACCCTGAGGCGCCCCCCTGCGGCAGCTCCCCTCCCCAGCCTGGGGAGCTGTGCGGCAGCTCCCCACCCCCCAGCCCGGGGATCCGTGCGGCAGCTCTGACCCGGGGAACCCCTGGGCTGCCTGCCGGCGGCTCAGACTCCCTCTCCCTCCCAGTGCAGTGGCCACTGTAAAAAAAAAAATGGGGGCACCGCTTTTTGGCACCCCCAAATCTTGGTGCCCTAGGCAACTGCCTAGTTGGCCTAAATGGTAGCACCGGCCCTGCGTCTAGCTCTTTTGTCTATGGAGTAATGTGATCCCAGTGCACCCTAAAGACTCAAAAAGCAGAAGGAAAATAAAAAGAACTCCAGATCTATCATTTTTATGTAATCTTGTGATTTTAAAGCCAATCTCATGATTTTTGATGAGCCTGATTCATGATTTTTGAACATTTGGGGTTGGCAATACTGTAGGCCCCAAAGAACAACAGACAAATAAAACTAACATGAATATTCACATTACTATTTAACAACTTTTTATGTTTATACTTTTTAAAATAAGAAATAAAAATTAAGGAAGGGAGTGGGGAACCATCTCCCCTGGATCCATTAGCCTTCCTGATTTAAAGGAGGACTAGAACCATTCCCCTCTACCAGAGCAGGGGTTAGATGGGTTCCAGAGGATGTAGCCTGGCTTAGCAGCTGGTCCATAGGCTCTGCCTTCTATTTCAGGAACCCCTTCCATCCTGCAGGCATTGGGCATGGAGGTGCTCTGGAGCCTCCATTGCTCTTTGGCAGGCTGTGACAGCCTGCTCCTGGCCCATGCCTGCCCCTTGCCAAGACTGAAATCTATAGCATAAACTAAAAGGTGTATCAAAACCACTTCTAGCGTGTTAAATTCTTGTCTAAAAATTATTTGTTTTAGGGGTTACGGATAGAATGTAGGAACCTGTGAAGGAGTAATCATCTCCCATCAGGCATGTCCCCAGGTAGCAGTTAGGGGAACATCCTGTAGATGCAGGACAGCTGCAAATATCCAATAAGCAGTTGCAGACCAACTGGCAGCATCTCTGAACAGGGTGTGGTGGGGTGGCTGGTGCCGGGGCTACCTCTATAAAATGCCACAGAGGTCCCATGACAAAGACATCAAGGCAAATAAAGACTGCCTGAAAACAAGCCTTGCTGGGGCAAGTGGAGTTTGGTAGGCAGCTCACCTAGGAGCAGGGAAACTCCAGTTTCATACCAAGGATGTCAGGCTTGAACAGCCAACCTGGAAAGCTTGTCCAATAGATATGGTCACGCCAACCCTGAATAAGGAAGTGGCAAGGAAGAAGAAGAGGATAAAAGAGGAAAATGTTCCAAACAGCTGCAGAGTTGCAGGCAATCCAAAAGCCAGCATCTCCCCAGAGTTACAACAACAAAATATCTGAGATACACAGTTACTCCCTATTCTAAGCATAGGGAAATATGGTTGTGTGACGGGTTCGGTCACAGAGACCCCCTTGGGACTGTCACCTGTCGTGCTGAAGTTACCTCTGAGCCTGTTTCCCCTGCCAGCTTGGGACTCCGGAACCCTGCCTTGTTGAGCCAGACACACTAGCCTGTTGCAACACAGATCCAGGTCTTGCCCACGCACCCAAAACTGCAGACTTTAACCAAAAACTGCTCAGCAGGTCACCTATCTCCAGCACCCAGACACCCAGTTTCCAATGGGATCCAAACCCCAAATAAATCCATTTTACTCTATATAAAGCTTATACAGGGTAAACTCATAAATTGTCCGCCCTCTATAGCACTGAGAGAGAGATATCTACAGCTGTTTGCTCCCCCAGGTATTAATCACTTACTCTGGGTTAATTAATAAACAAAAGTTATTTTATTAAGTATAAAAAGTAGGATTTAAATGGTTCAAGTAATAACAGACAGAACAAAGTAAGTCACAAGCAAAATAAAGCAAAAGCACGCAAGTCTAAGCTTAATACATTAAGAAACTGGTTACAGGTAAATCCCACCCTCAGAGATGTTCCAGTAAGCTTCTTTCACAGACTAGAGTCCTTCCTAGTCTGGGTCCAATCCTTTCCCCTGGTACAGTCCTTGTTAGTTCCAGCTCAGGTGGTCACTAGGGGTTTTCTCATGACTGGCAGCCCCCCTTGTTCTGCTCCACCTCCTTTTATAGCTTTGGCACAAGGCAGGAACCCTTTGTCTCTCTGGATCCCTGCCCCTCCTTCTAAATGGAAAAGGACCAGGTTTAAGATGGATTCCGGTATCCTGTGACCTGGTCACATATCCTGTGAGACCTCATTCTTCCAGGGCTGGCCCGCATATACTCAGGGAGGTTTGCAAGTAAACAGAGCCATTTAGCTCCCATTGACTAGGACAATTGGTTGTATCAAGCTTCCAAACCACCATTAATGGCCCACGCTTTGCATAATTACAATAGGACTTCAGAGTTATACTTCATATTTCTAGCTTCAGATACAAGAATGATACATACCTACCAATAGGATGAACACACTCAGTAGATTATAAGCTTTGTAATGATACCTTACAAGATACCTTTTGCATAAAGCATATTCCAGTTACATTATATTCACACTCATAAGCATATTTCCATAAAACATGGAGCTTGTCCAATAGATATGGTCATGCCAACCCTGAATAAGGAAGTGGCAAGGAAGAAGAGAATAAAAAAGAGGGAAATGTTCCAAACAGCTGAAGAGTTGGTGGCAATCCAAAAGCCAGCATCTCCCCAGAGTTACAACAACAAAATATCTGAGATACACAGTTACTCCCTATTAAATAAATAAAATAAATTAAATTAATGGAGATATCCCATCTCCTAGAACTGGAAGGGACCTTGAGTCCAGCCCCCTGCCTTCACTAGCAGGACCAATTTTGATTTTGCCCCAGATCCCTAAGTGGCCCTCTCAAGAATTGAACTCACAACCCTGGGTTTAGCAGGCTAATGCTCAAACCACTGAGCTATCCCTCTCCCCCCCAAGCATAAGCATAAGCATAAGCATAAGCATAAGCATAAGGGGATATGGTGGTATTTAATGTTCTTTAAGGTGGCAACAGTTCTACATATAGATCCACCTATTTTCTTTCTCCTAACAGCTGAAGAGTTGAAAGTGAGGTTTTGGTTTGGTAAATAGGAGACTGTAGCTTCATTTAGATAATATTGCCTAATTAATATTGGTAAATTAATTTACAATCTAATAGTTTTTCATGTTGTTGCAAATTACAGACCTCTGGACGTGAAGGCTGTGGCACACAGAAGTTCTGTTTCATCAGTCCCACTGGGTGTAATCTGGATGATCCAAATTGTTATTTCATGTCTTCTGAGTCACTAGGTGGTGATGCTTTTAAATTTGAAATGAGCGGCCTTTCTGATGGATATATAGCCATTGGGTTTTCTGATGATACACAAATGGTAAGATACTATCACTGAATACACTATTGGAACAACAACAAAGTTCTGTTTTGCAAACTGCGGAAACTTGACAACAAACTATTCAGTGATTACAGTGGAGAGAAAGGGGAGACCTGTAGAGCAGGAGAGTTCCACTATGTTTAGCAAAGCTTGTAAGAGTGTTGATTATTCAGATTCCAAGGCCAGAATGGACCTATCTGATCATCTCTTCTGCCCTCCTGTATAACACAGGGCATAGAACTTCCTTAAATTAATTCCTAGTACATATCATTTAGAAAAACATTCCATCTTGATTTAAAAGATGTCAATGATGAAGGACCGCCATGACACTTGGTAAATTGTTCCAGTGGTTAATTAACCTAAAATTTACACTTTATTTCCAGTCTCAATTTGTCTAGTCATTGGATTGTGTCAGACTGATAGACCTATAATTACTGGGGTTATACTATTTACACTTTTTAAATATTGGCACAACACCAGCTTTCTTCCAGGCTTCTGGAACTTCCCAGTGATCCAAGACTTATTGAAAATCAACATTAATGGTCCAGCAGGGTTCTCAGCCAACTCTTTTAAAACTCTTGGGTGTGAATTATCTGGGCATGCTGATTTTAAAATGTATAACTTTAGTAGCTGCTGTTAGCATCCTCATTAGATACCAATGGAATGGAAAGAGTGTTATTATTATTATCATCATCATCATCTAATATAACTGCATCAGCTATTCTTTCCCCAAATACAGAACAGAAATGTTTATTGAACACTTCTGCCTTTTCTGCATTACTAATGATAATTCTACCATTTCCATCTAGCAATGGGAAAATATCATTGTTAGGATTCTTTTTGTTCCTAATTCAATTACGAAACACCTTATTATCCTTAACTCTAATGGCTACATATTTTTCTGTGTCCCTTTGTTTCCCTTTTCAGTGTTGTATAATTCCTTGCTTCTGATTTATATTCATTACTATCAACTTCCCCTTTCTTCCATTTGTTTTAGATTTTATAGCTGCCTTCACTTCCCCTCTAATCCAGATAATTCCCAATTATCATTTCCCTTTTTCTGATAACATTCTTCTTCCTAGCTGATTTGGCCCATAATTGCTTTCAACTTTGTGAAATTGGCCTGTTTAAAGTACCAAGAATATATATTATTGGTCTGTACTTTATTCTTTTTTCACATTATTAATGTGATCAACTTATGATCACTTGTACCTATGCTACCATTAATTTTTAATTCTGTGATCAGTTCCTCTTTATGTGTCATTATAAGGTCTAGTATGGAATTCCCCCATGTTGGATGCGTCAATTTTTTTGAGTTAGGAAATTGTCATCTATAATATTTCAAAATTCTAAGAAATCATGAAGCACGGTAGCACATTACCTGAATAACAAACACTGTTATAATATTACAGTTCTGTGCACCCCAGATACAAATTCCAGTTAATTGGTATTGTTTATGAGATTTCATTTTTCTTGATATTTTTCTGCTCCATAGTTATAATTCTATCACCCAATTCAGCACTTACACTCTGAAGTCAATTTGAATGGGGTATCAGTCTGAATCAATACAGAATTTGGCCTTTAAACGTAACTCATATCTTACTATTAGGGAACTTGATTACCATTGTGTTTGCTGTGTGCTGACGTGGCACTACATCCTTTGAGTGATACATCCCAATAATCTTTTTTTTTTCTTGTTTTGTTAAAGTATAGTGTTATGGACATCTGCAACTCAAACAGCTGCGGGACAAGATTTTCAAAAATAGGAGTCTAAAGTTATGCACCTAAATAAGACTCCAATTTAGCAAAGCACTTAAGTTAACATGCTCAAGTGTTTTGCTAAATCACGTTCTGAGTAGACAAATTTTCAGAAGTTCTGAGCTGCCTCCCATTGAATTCACTGGGTGCTTGGCCATTTATATAAGTACCAACATATGGATTTAGGAACCTAACTTTAAGCTTTCATGGTTTAAAATCTGGCCTTGATCAATAAACTGCATTTTTAACACAGACATGTGAAAAGTGGTGGAAAAAAATATAAAAACATCTTTTTGGCATTTTTTTCCCCAAAATGAAAAGCTGATGATGTAGTTCCTCCAGGTACACTGACTTACTTTAGTTACAGAGATCTTTTAAAGCATACGTGCCTTAGATTGGAATGAAAGGTTATTTGTAAAGGGAGATCATTGTTGCAGTGGCTTCTTTAGAGCTACAGTGGAAAAAAGGCTTGTGTGATGAGAGTGGAACATGCTATACACATGCTCTAACTATTGCTCCTTTGCAAGAAACTGAATGGAAGATTATATTTAAGGTGCAAAGCTACTGGACCATATGCCAATTGTCTCTAATGTAGCGGTACCCTCAAATATCGTTTGGGTTTTGATTTTATTACTATGATGGTGCTCAGTTCCATAGTCTTGGTGCACCTGAAACTCCAGTCAAAGTTTGTGTGAGATTTCCCTGTGTAAGATCTGCATGCAGCTTTACTCAATCACCACTGACATGGGCAAATCTGTGCTTTTCCAGGGGAATGACGACATTTATATCTGTGGTAAGAATGCAACAGGACAAATAGAAGTTCAACATGCCTTTTCAACTGGACGAACTAGTCCCAACAGTTTGTCTCTGGTAATTTAATTCCAGATTATGTTGTATGTATGTGTAGAATAACGCTATTTCATATTTTTTACTGTTGCATGCTTTTTATTCCAGAGTTGTTGCTGAGCTACAATATCAGTGCTGAATTCCAGACAGGATGATAAGATTATCAAACTGTGAACTATCGTATCGAAAGCTAGCAGTATAACTTTGCTCTGAACAGAGTTTATCCCTTAAAATTGATTTGGACCATCTACATATTTTCATCTACATTAGCTTTTCTCCTGGCTCTGCTCTGAGTTGGTATTAGCAAAGACTAATAGCTAGTCAGAGACCAAGATAGACAGGAGAGAAAAAAAAGTGGATCAGCCATTGATTTATGCAGTAAAACTTAAATCAAGTAATATTCTGCTAAACATTTAACTAATCAAAAATGTAAACCTAGTAAACAGAATCATGTTGTTTATGCCTCCTGCAGCAGAGTGGGAAAAAGTACATTTAAAAAAAAATTAAGACAAGTGTATAAATGTTGGTTTTACTTTTTTAGTACTTATATCAGAAAAAAAAATTATTAGCAAAGGAATAATCAATATATCTTCTGGAATATGCTACATCAGAGATTTCATGCTTTTGTATATCAGTTATGAATATCTACTATTAACTATACTCTAGTTGACCTCACTGACTTCTTTCTAGTTACTCCTAATTTACATTGATATGAGTGTCCAGGGGAATGAGACCCTAAGCCAGTGGTGGGCAGCCCACGGGCGCACATGGCCCATCAGGGTAATCTGCTAGCAGACCGCGAGACAGTTTGTTTACATTGACCGTCTGCAGGCATGGCCACCTGCAGCTCCCAGTTGCCACGGTTCACCATTCCCGGCCAATGGGAGCTGCGGGAAGCAGCGGCCAGCATGCCCCTGCAGCCCACGCCGCTTCCCGCAGTTCCCATTGGCTGGGACTGATGAACCACAGCCATTGGGAGCTGCGGGCGGCCGTGCCTGTGGATGGTCAATGGAAACAAAATTGTCTTGCGGCCCGCCAGTGGATTATCCGGATGGGCCATCTGCGGACCGTGGGCCGCAGGTTGCCCGCCACTGCTCTAAGCTCTGATGTCATAGTTAACACATTGGGGAAGAGCAATATACATATTTTATTTGTGTCAAGTTAAAGAAATGACACATTTTAACTAAATGATCATATAGTTTTGGGTCTAATCCTGCACATATTTGTGCATGTGAATACCTGCTCACATGAGTAATCCCATATTCACATGGGTATTTCCAGTGAAGAGAATGGGATTTCTCCCTTGATTAAAATTTCTCAGGTGCATGTATTCAGAATAAGGCCCTTGAGCACTAGTAAAGAAAAACTAAAAACCCAGCATTGTTGAATCACTGTTTACTTAAAGTTGTAACGTGGTGCAAATCCATAAATGACTCTTTACTAATAGCACATAATTTTGTAATTAGCAATTGATGAGGTAGATGCTATTTCTGCTGAACATAGAATCATAGAATATCAGAGTTGGAAGGGACCTCAGGAGGTCATCTAGTCCAACCCCCTGCTCAAAGCAGGACCTAATCCCCAACTAAATCATCCCAGCCAGAGCTTTGTCAAGCCTGACCTTAAAAACCTTTAAGGAAGGAGATTCCACCAGCTCCCTAGGTAACCCATTCCAGTGCTTCACCACCCTCCTAGGTGAAGTTTTTCCTAATATCCAACCTAAACCTCTCCCACTGCAACTTGAGACCATTACTCCTTGTTCTATCATCTGGTACCACTGAGAACAGTCTAGATCCATCCTCTTTGGAACCCCCTTTCAGGTAGTTGAAAGCAGCTATCAAATCCCCCCTCATTCTTCTCTTCTGCAGACTAAATAATCCCAGTTCCCTCAGCCTCTCCTCATAAGTCATGTGCTCCAGACCCCTAATCATTTTGTTGCCCTCCGCTGGACTCTTTCCAATTTTTCCACATCCTTCTTGTAGTGTGGGGCCCAAAACTGGACACAGTACTCCAGATGAGGCCTCACCAATGCCGAATAGAGGGGAATGATCACATCCCTCAATCTGCTGGCAATGCCCCTACTTATACAGCCCAAAATGCCGATAGCCTTTTTGGCAACAAGGGCACACTGTTGACTCATATCCAGCTTCTTGTCCACCGTAACCCCTAGGTCCTTTTCTGCAGAACTGCTGCCTAGCCACTCGGTCCCTAGTCTGTAGCAGTGCATGCGATTCTTCCGTCCTAAGTGCAGGACTCTGCACTTGTCCTTGTTGAACCTTATCAGATTTCTTTTGGCCCAATCCTCTAATTTGTCTAGGTCCCTCTGTATCCTATCCCTATCCTCCAGCATATCTACCACTCCTCCCAGTTTAGTGTCATCTGCAAACTTGCTGAGGGTGCAATCCACACCATCCTCCAGATCATTAATGAAGATATTGAACAAAACCGGCCTCAGGACTGACCCTTGGGGCACTCCGCTTGATACCGGCTGCCAACTAGACATGGAGCCATTGATCACTACCCATTAAGCCCGATGATCTAGCCAGCTTTCTATCCACCTTATAGTCCATTCATCCAGCCCATACTTCTTTAACTTGCTAGCAACGATACTGTTTGTTTATTGCTGTATGATGAATGTTCTATGTCAGGGGTCGGCAACCTTTGGCACGCGGCTCACCAGGGTAAGCACCCTGACAGGCCGGGCCGATTTGTTTACCTGCTGCGTCCTCAGGTTCAGCCAATCGCGGCTCCCACTGGCCGCGGTTCGCTGCTCTAGGCCAATGGGGGCGGCGGGAAGTGGCAGCCAGCACATCCCTCGGCCCGCACTGCTTCCCGCAGCCCCCATTGGCCTGGGACGGCGAACCGCAGCCAGTGGGAGCCACGATCGGCCGAACCTGTGGACGCGGCAGGTAAACAAACCGGCCCGGTCCGCCAGGGTGCTTACCCTGGCGAGCCATGTGCCAAAGGTTGCCGACCCCAGTTCTATGTAATAATTACAGATATTCTGGTTTTAGGGTGATGTTCAGAGCATAAAGACTTCCTTTAACAATGGAATCATCAACTGCTCTTTCATTACAAGAAATCCCATATCGACTCAGTCAAAAGCTGCCAGCAATTTGTACTTCATATTTCTGGCCCAGGGACCATCATCAGCTGGTGAGTGTTGCCTTATCATGCAATGTCCAAATGGAAGACTAACAATTGCGGAGGTGTGCGCATATATACATACATACGTGCACACACACACACACACACACACATATATATTTTGTGGAGGAGAGGAGGCACAGAGAATGAGAGGTTTGAAATGTGATCAGGATAACAGATCTTTTTTGGTCTGAGAAGATAACATGCTGACATGATGGCAGCAGCTTGATACATGTGAAGCTTACGCTATTGGAAAGAAATATATTCTTTCCACGTGTATTTGTCTTTTTTTTTTTATTGCTTGTATAAGAGCAACACAAAGAGACCACCTCCAAGATGACAGCCCCATGGTGACAGGCATTGTACAGACAGTCTCTGCACCAAAGAGCTTACAGTCTAAATAAACAAGACAGGGTGGGAGAGGAAATAGAAGTTGGTAGCTTACCAAAGGTCACACAGAAATCAGTGGCAGAGCTAGGAATAGAACCCAGGACTCCTGAGTCCCATTCCATGGCCGTACATACTGGGTCATGCTACTGAGTTAAAATATGTACAAAAATATAAAGAAATATTGTCCCAACCCTTTCCTACACTTAGGGTGACCAGATGTCCCGATTTTATAGGGACAGTCCCGAGTTTTGGGTCTTTTTCTTATATAGGTTCCTATTACCCCCCACCCCCTGTCCTGATTTTTCACATTTACTGTCTGGTCACCCTACCTACACTCCAGCGACTTTGTGCCACTCAGGCAATGCAAAGCAATTGGAAGGCTGGCTTAGCTGGTTCCACTCAGCAATCCTCTGGGGTACAGGAAAATCCCCAGGTTTGTTAGAGCTCCCATGGTGACTCTATGCTCCCTTCCTCTTTACCCCTTGGCATATAGGGGTCATGGCTGGGGAAAGGAGCCCTGCACTTCTATTATCCCAGCTAACAGAATGTCCCTTTAAGACCGTGCACAGGTAGGTGTAACTTAAAACAGCTCAGTGGTTGCCGTGTTGAGGGGATAACCTGGCACCAGGACAGAAATAGGGATGTAAAGGAGGCTTTAAGGTACCTTTTGTGCCCACCTTTTTGAGCTGTGCTAAATTCAGCTCTGGCATGGTCCGGGATTTGGCTCATTCTGTTCCCATCATGATTAATACAGTCTGTTAAAATATTTGTGCTGAGGATTGGGGAAAGGTTTGTTACAGTCTGTTTAAGGTTTGCCACTGTGCACTTATCTATTTGGTGCAGTGATGTGCACTTCAGGGGGTGTGATTTCTAAAGCATACTAATGTGTTGCACACTCACTTGTCTGTGTAGACCCTGCTGGTGTGCACTAAAAGTTTCCTAATGCACTTTAACATAGTGCTGTTTGAAACACTACTACATCAAAGTGCCATAGGGACCATTCAGTGTACACCAGCAGAGACTATGTGGACAAATTAATGCCCAACACATTAGTGCGCGTCAGAAATCACACCCCTGTAGTGCACATTACCCCACCATGTAGACTCCTAAGATTCCAACTCTGCAAGTGAATCAACCAACATGGATCCTTTCGCCTTCCTGTAGTCCTTATTAAATCTCTAATTTTTGTATTAAAATAAAAAGTAATTTTGTAGTTAAACCCCAAGAAACAGTGACAAATTAGAACAAATGACATTGCATTTGCAGTAGAAACTGTGGCTCAGTGACTCCAAAAGATCACTATAGACATTTATTTGGCCACCCTAAATCAACATTAAATCCAGTCCAAAGTACTTTAGTTTGAATATGAATTTAGGGTCTGATCCTGCAGGGTGGCCAATGCCCTAGTCTACAATGGTATTTTCAGGGGTTCAGCACCTCTGAAAATTAAGCTATTTGTTTAATTCCATAAATATGGATTTAGAAGCCTAACTTTAAGCATCCAAGTTTGTAAATGTTGGTCTAAGTGCTCTATATGCAAAGAACAAATGATAAAATGTTTAACAATTCTGATAGCACGGGCTACATGTTCTGCAAATGCCAGAGATGACGGTAAGTATCTGAATAATAATTATTTGGAAGTAGCACATCTGAGGTGAACCCGTAGACATGAAACTGATTTCTGGCTCTCCTAGCATTCTGTGGACAAACATTCAAAAGAAAATCTAAACCTGAAACTAAAAGCCTTATCTTGAGGTATCTGTTGTAGGAGACATGCCAAAACAAAAATATTAAGCTGCTGTTGTGCCACACATTCTTGGTTCCTGGGATGTGCCAGCATGTATTGTGGCAAATTCAATACTTACTGCTTACTTTTGGCCAGTGAATAATCTTTTTTTTATTTCTTTATTGAGCATTGGCCTGCTAAACCCAAGGTTGTGAGTTCAATCCTTGAGGGGGATCGGGGCAAAATCAGTACTTGGTCCTGCTAGTGAAGGCAGGGGGCTGGACTCAATGAACTTTCAAGGTCCCTCCCAGTTCTAGGAGATAGGATATCTCCATTAATTTAATTTACTTAAAAAGCCAATAGCTTGCTTAATAGCCAATAATGGTTGCTTAATGTTTTCAGGACAGATACAGAAGCATCCTAGGACACCCCTTATCACTCCTCAGAAAGTGAACATTTCAAGCTATGAAGCAGTAGGTGGCACTAGTTCTACACCTTCTATCATTAAGGCTCACGGTAAGAATATTTTAAAGAAAGTAACTGGATGAATCAACTATCCATTCCTTCCTTGTAAGGGGGAAAGTGTATGGTTTTTCATAGATATGCTCACACTCACATCCTTTCTTATGAAATAAGGCTCCCATTTCTAGTCCTGCAGATTCAAATCATATTGGACTTTAAAGTCATTTATTTCTATGTATAGAAAATCGGTCACTGGTGCTGAATTTTACCCAACTTAGAGGGGTGGGATGGGGAAATTCCACATTTGGGAGAAGGAGGACATCAAACCGCTGCCATTTTTTAAAGTTGCTCAGTGGATTGGACTACTAGAATAAGTCTTAGAGTAGATGGATTACTGAGTTGGGGGTAAGGGGATAGGAGAGGAAGCCAAAGGTGCACGATGAATTTATTTATTATATTGTTCTGCAACTGATCATATGATTTTCTAATTTATCACATGGGTATTTATCTCCACATGTTTGGGGGGGGGGGCGTATAAACTGCACACACACACATATGTAGTGAACCAGATCCTGAGCAGATGTAAATTAGCATGGCTTTATTGAAGGTCTGTGTCTATATTATGGGAAGTAATTATCTTCTGTAGCTGACACAGTAAAAAAGGCTAAATAATAATAAAGTTGAGCAGGAACTCGTACAAGAAACTTAGAGAAGAGAATTCATATTATATAGTTGATAATCCTCTGTATCAATTATGAGTTATTTTACAGTGATCTAGAAAATTTGAAAATTGATTTTCCACCACACAACAGATTACCTTTAATTTTCCAGAGCTCTTTCATAATCTGATCTTTCTTGTGTGATCTTTCAAAAATAACATGATAGTTTTAGTTCTGGGAGAAGTATTTTGTAATATAGAGCACAGTAGTTTTTAAAGGGTGTATATAATACACTTCCAGTCTGTTTCAAGGAAGATCAGTTGCAGTCATTAAAGATAAAAAGAAGATTAATCTTTAACTAAAAGATACAAAATAGAAATAGATTTTGGAATATCTAAAATCCATATATTTGAACATTTGTTTCTTCTGGTTTATGCTCCACGGAGAGCTTTGATCTTGACAACTTAGATTTCTCTATACAGAATATCTTCAATATGTTACAAAATATGACAATAACAGATTTACAACAAAAGATATCTAACTGTTTCCTAGGAATGGCACAGTTCTAGACATTAACTGTACAGCTGGATTAAAATTCAGGAAAATTACATGGTTCTTTCATGATAATGTACCTGGTCATATTAATCACCTCGATTTTTGTTATTAAATCTTTCTTCATTTTTACAGAGTAATAAAGAGACACATTTTGTGACATTGTCAAGTAAAAATCACTGCTGTGTATGTCTAGTGTAGGAAAGAAGATGGCTATAAAGAGAGGCTTAGAAAAGAAGAGAGTACCAGGGAGAGGAGAGAGATCCCCCTACAGAGATTCAGGCTCAGAAACAGGTTTAGAGAAAAGAACTGAGAGAGAGAGAAAGACAGAGGTTAGAAATGTATAATGACCCAGTAGGTGACTCATTTATCACTTATACTTGTTACTCCTGGTGGCATTGTGCACCCAAAAATTAAAAGTTCTGTGCGAAAAAATTAAAAATTCTGCAAATTTTATTTGTCAAAATAATGCTACATAATATTTATCTTGGTAAGTTATTTCAAAATATCTGTCAACAAGTATGCCTGTAACAATGCAGAAACACACAAAAATTCCCCCAGGAGTAGAGAGTTAAAGAAACCCCTATGACAACTCCTGTTTCTCTGCCCCCTTCACCTCACCCCCACCCCCAGAGCCCAGCTAGGGGGCCAGACACCCACAACTCCTCCCCCCCCCCAGGGCCCCGCCATGTCCCTCCCCCCCCCCCCCCCCGCCAATAAACCTGAACCCCCTCCCCATCCAGAGCCCAGTCGCGGGGGCCTCCCAGGCCAGATACCCGCACCCCCCCACACAGAGCCCAGCCATGGGCCCCCCTTTGCCCAGATATCCACACACACCCCAGAGCCCAGCCAAGGCCCCCCCAGCCCAGACACTCACCCTCCTCACCGCCACCCTCCAGAGCCCAGGGATCCAGAGGGAGAAACAGCCTGATGCTCAGTCCCAGGCTTGCACGGAGTTTCCTGCGCACCGCTGTCTCCTTCCCTCAGGGTGTGCTGGGAACTGCAGCTGTCAGGAACCCTCTAGCTCCCTCCCCCTCCCCCTGGCAGTGTCTTCTACGTGCCAGCTGGGCAGTGCTGGGTCCAGTAGTCCCTAGTGGCAGCCAGCAGCACTGCAGCCCATTTCTGTGGGGAAAAGGAAATTCTGCGTGCACAACATTAATTTCTGCAAAATTCTGCATTGTGCAGTGGCGCAGAATTCCCCCAAAAGTAAAGACTTGTATATAAAATACAATTACATAGCAAAGTCTGTAACTAAAAGAAAGTGCATCAATCCTGCAACTTTTTGAGTTCTTGCCATTTGTATGAGTTTTTCAAGGGCTGCAATTTCTGATAAGTTTTATACCAGTCTCTGACTTCTAGAGATGAACTGTGTTTCCACATTTGCAAAATAAGCCATTTGGCTACAAGTGCAGCCTAAAGGAACTAGAGTTTTTGACAATTTGTAAAGCCTCATTTTTATCTGCATCTGACCTCTGGCTTGTCTATGCAAATGTTTAGTTCACTCCAAGCTGGGGTGAGACATTAGCTGCACTAGCCTGCTGCAGTGTAACTGTTCGTGTGCACCCTGCTGATGTGAACTAACAATCTGCCTATGTGCTTTGATTTAGTTCTGTTTCAAAGAAGACTAGATCAAAGTGCTCTAACGAATTGTTAACATGCATCCCCAGGGTAGACAAAGTTACACTGTAGCAGGTTAGTGAGGGCTAGAGTCAAACCACAGTTTTCTGAAGTCTAATTGTTTGTGTAGACAACCCCTAGTGTGAGAGTTTCAGTGTTAAAGGAATATTATTAGCATTTAAAATAAAGTTTGTTCTGTTACACACCTCTCTCTAACAGCCTTAATAATACACCTCTACCCCGATATAACGCTGTCTTCGGGAGCCAAAAAATCTTACCGCGTTATAGGTGAAACCGCGTAATATCGAACTTGCTTTGATCCGCTGGAGCGCGCAGGGCCCCCCCCCGCCCGGAGCGCTGCTTTCCGCGTTATATCTGAATTCGTGTTATATCGGGTCGCGTTATATCGGGGTAGAGGTGTACTGGCATGTTATTATATCGGGGTAGAGGTGTACTGGCATGTTATTGCTGGAAGAAACAGAACTGTGGAGCTTCCCTCTTAGCAATGAAAAGCAAGTGTTTATTATTTAGTTTGAAAGAAAGAGAGAGAGAGAATGTTAGCACACTAGCTTAATTACATTAAGGCCTGGTCTACACTAACCCCCCAAGTCGAACTAAGGTACGGAACTTCAGCTACGTGAATAACGTAGCTGAAGTCGACATACCTTAGTTCGAACTTACCGCGGTTCAGACGCGGTCCACACGCGGCAGGCAGGCTCCCCGTCGACTCCGCGGTACTCCTCTCGCCGAGCTGGAGTACTGCAGTCGACGGCGAGCACTTCCTGGTTCGACTTATCGCGTCCAGACCAGACGCAATAAGTCGAACCCAGAACTTCGATCCCCAGCCGCCGAACTAGCGGCTGGGTGTAGACCAGCCCTAAAAGAAGGAATCCTTTAGGGAAAGACCTAAGTAGTCTGGCTTCTATCCAACAAATCACTTGAAAACTTGAGCAGTCTCATTGAAGTCAATGGAATTACCTACATGCTTCTAGTTAAGCACGTTCTTGAGGCTTTGCTGGATTGTGGCCAGAGTGCTCAGCACCTTGTAAGCTTGAAGTGCAGCATTATTGTTGTGCTAACACAAATACACTTGCCTGTGTTTTCTACTTGCTTAGTACTGCCTGAAGGTATGATTTTGATTTTTTTTAATTAGGAGTGGATTGGAATTACTGTTTAGAATTTGAACATATCATCTATTCATTGTCTTGGTTTTTCATAAGGGGCCCTGATGCTGATAGCCTGGATGACCACAGGAAGTATAGGAATGATATTTGCTAGGTATTTGAAGAATGCTATCGGAAAAACTCTCCTTGGCAAAGATATTTGGTTTCAGGTATGTAAATAAATGGAACAAAAACTATCAATTACTAGTTTCAGAGTGTATTTTTCACTTCATTCATCTGATGAAGTGGGTTCTAACCCACAAAAACTTATGCCCAAATAAATTTGTTAGTCTCTAAGGTGCCACAAGGACGCCTCGTTGTTTTTATCAATGACTATAACAGCATCACTGGCAAAATGAAATGATACAATGGGCAAACGAGTAAAAAGAAAAACTCTGATAAGATTGTTTTCTCTATTTCTTCTATCATTTTGAAGTGGAAATGGAGAAGCCATTTCTAAACAATAACTGATCAAAGGGAAGTATGTGTACACACACACTCACAAAATGCATAGGTCATCCCATGTATTAGAAAAAACATCTGGAACTTTTGTATTCAGTAAATGGTTATGAATAATGACTATATTAACAAAAACCAGGGTTGGTAGCACTCAAAACAAAGTAGAATGATTCACTAGCCTACAAAGAGACTAAATGTGTAGCAAATATTATTCATTATGAATAGTTTGACCAGCTCCAATGTTTGAAGAGAGTATTTAAACAATGTTGAATGCTACAGAACATCACAATCATATGCATGACATTGTTTTGGTTAACAACAAGAAGGAGAAAATGAGATCAATACGCTATAGGAAATAAAAGGCCAACACAGGAAAGTTCTTGCATGATGTAAAGAATGCCAGTTTACACCTCTTGCTCTCCTCTTTTTGTAGGGTTTATTCCAGGGTAAGGAAGAGGCATGTCAGTAGTGTGAGGGGGTAGAGCTGGATGACAGTGCACTCTAGCACCTCTGTGGCTGCTCTAATTTTTGCTGGGGAACCATTTTTGCACCCATATGCTCTCAGGGTTAGAGAAGGTATAACAGGTAGCTTAGAACCACCTTTGCCTCCCCTTCCTGCAGTGGCGCCAAGCTTGGATCTAAGAAGTTGTAAAATAATCACTGTTAACAAAAACTTAGTTTGAATTTCCACACTATTACTAAAGAAATTAAAGAGGGTCATCTTAGACACCACATGACTTGTAATGCCTCGTTGCAAGCATGGAAGTTAAGAACAAGCTCTGAATTTATTGCCTTAATTTGGTGGTTCGACCACAGCTATTAGCTGAATTGTTATAAGTTCTTTTGTATTTCATGTGTCTAAGTTATGGCTATTCACAACTGTTCAATGGAAGGTACTGCTATCAAAAGATTGTCACGCAGTTCTATGGGAAGTCTCATTGAAAGTCTCCTCCTCGGTGCAATAGACCTCTGTGTAGTAAAATTAATACACAGTGACTGTGCTGCCCGGAGTATTCAGAGTGATGCATTTACTTGACATGATTCACAAGAAACTGTTATCCTGGAGGATCTCTTAATCCCAGGGGGGTTGGTCAGACTCTTGACCATTGAATGTATTTATTTGATGTTCATGGTAGATTCAGATTCTTGAGAATGGAAGCTTTCATTTAAAAAAAAAAAGTTCATAACCTGGGATTTTTCAAAGGAGTCTATGGAAGTCCCAGCCCAAGTCTATGTGGTTGAGAAGATAGCCTTCCCAATGCAGAACAATGTAGTGCTGTTCTAGTCAGCCTGAAATGGCAGCTAAGACAGGCATGAACTGCCTTATTTATTTAACTTACGTTGATTCTGAAGCTTAACAATGGCACTTAAGGGCCATATTTTTCAAATGTAGCCATGCCATCTCATGCCTAATTTGGACATGTAGTTACCATGATTGTCATAGAAATTGAGCGATTGCACACCCAAGTGGTCAGTTGTCATCAGTGGGAGTTCTGCCGTGAGTCATGCTATTACTGTGTATTGGAACCAGATTTTTCCCTTTTTTGGAAAATGGTGCAGACAGAAATATGCTTATTTTCGTGCAGTTGACATAGCAATCAAAAAGTGTTTCTCTGGTTAGAAAACCATACACATCTTGAAACCATAAAGGTGCCCAATGCATTGCTTGGGGTATATATGTATGACATGGTGTGAACAGGGAGATGAAGATGATAATTTGAACATTGTATGGCAGAGGTGGGCAAACTACGGCCTGCGGGCCACATCCAGCACGCGGGACTCTCCTGCCCGGCCCCTGAGCTCCTGGCCCGGGAGGCTAGCCCTCGGGCCCTCCCCCGCAGCCTCAGTCTGCCGCGCCGCCGGCGCAATGCTCTGGGCGGCCGGGCAGCGCAGCTGCAGAGCCCGGCCTGACCCGGTGCTCTGTGCTGCGCTGTGGCGTGGCTGGCTCCAGCCAGGCGGTGCGGCTGTAGCGCCGCCAGCCACCAGTGCTCCAGGCAGTGCGGTAAGGGGGCAGGGAGCAGGGGAGTTCGGGGTGTGGATAGGGGTTGGGGTGGTCAGAGAGCAGGGAACAGGGGGGTTGAATGGGGGCAGGGATTCCGGGGGGGCAGTCAGGAAGGAGGGGGGATTGGATGGGGCGGTGGGGGGCAGTCAGGGGACAGGGAGCGGGGGGGTTTGCATAGAGGGCAGGGAAGTTTGGGGTGGGGGTGTGGATAAGGGTCAGGGTGGTCAGAGGGCGGGGAATGGGGGGTTGAATGGGTGCAGGAGTCCCGGGGGGCAGTCAGGAAGGGTGGGGGTTGGATGGGGCGGCAGGGGGCAGTCAGGGGTGGGTGTTTCAGGGGCAGCCAGGGGACGGAGCGGGGGGGATGGATGAGGCAGGGGTCCTGGGGGGGGACCATCAGGGAACGGGGGGGTTGGATGGAGCAGGAGTCCCAGGGGGGGCCGTCAGGGGGCGAGAAGCGGGGGAGGGGATAGGGAGCAGGGGTCGGGCCATGCCTGGCTGTTGCAGGAGGCACAGCCTCCCCTAACCAGCCCTCCATACAATTTCCAAAACCCGATGCGGCCCTCAGGCCAAAAAGTTTGCCCACCCCTGTTGTATAGCGTCATTAGCTATGTTTTTTGCTGAGTAGACTGAATTGCCTCACAACCGGATATGCTAACCAAGGGTGGGGTTGTTACATAGTGCTACCAGCAGATGGAGACAGAGAATATATAAACTTTACAAAGAGTACCATAGCAGCTGAACTGTACCCCATTCCTCTCTGTCTCCCAGCAGCTGGGGATTATCTTCTCACCAGCTGGACTAAGCTGTTTGGTTTCTCACACTACAGTTTTCAGTTTCACAGAGATCACTTAAAGCAAAATGTTCTAATTTGGGGCTAGATTGTACAACCCTTACTCACCCAGGAAAGCACCAACCCAGATGGTCCCAGTGACTTTGGCATGAGGGTATACAATCCGTGGGGCCCTTTGGTACCCAAAGTTGGACATCTTGGGGCAGTTCTTCAACTGGTGAAAATTATCAGAGCTCCACTGAAATCGAAGGAGCTGCGACAATTTACACCAGCTATGGATCTATCGCATAATTACTGACCCAATTTTCAGAGGTTCAAAATTGATCTTCCACAACTCCCATTGATCTGAAAATGTTGACCTTAGTTTTGAATGTAACATACTCCATGGCATAGAGTTTTATTTTCTCTTTTCCCCTTTGCTCATAATGGAAGTCTCCATAGAAAGTAGGCTGACCATTTTTAGTATCTTTACTTCCTCCTCAGAGGCAAAATTCTCTCCTTTTGCTTTATGTAGATTTCTGAAATTATTAATTAACTAAATGTAAGCCCTTGGTTTGATAAGAAGTATGTTAGTTACAGCTATTTTAATAGTTTGGGATAGGCTGGTAAACCCAAGAATTCCATTTCTGATACTTAATCGTGTGACCTGCTGTATGGGAGAGTTTTTTTAGAAATTCAAATATTGGCAATAAAAGGAGTTAATTCATTGACCTGCAGATAGACATTTTGCAAACTGTTTATAAAGAAGCTAGTTGTCAAACACTAACCGATACACTGTCTTTTAGTGGTGCCATTAAAAAATGAAAGAAATTCTATGTTCAGACAAGACACACACACATGTGAAGCTGCATGAATCAATGGATAATCAAAGGCAAAAGTAGAATAATATTTTTCACCTCTTTAAGTGAACCTTAACCAACTTTGTCTCTAACCATACATATTAAGGTTAACAGGTTTACAACATCTTACAAATTTCCAATATCTAACAAACTGTGAACTTTTTCAGTTGTATACTAACATAAAAATTCTTCAACTTGTACTATTGCAACAAAATAACAAACACATTAATATATACTATGGATGAGTTTAATAACCTGTAATCTGTTTTTACTTAGATTCATTTGTCTCTGATGGTGATAACTGTCGCAGAAACAATAACTGCCTTCGTACTGGCCTTTGTAGAAGTAATGGGATGGGCTAGTGTAAGTTTTACCCAGTTTCTCCCCACCAACTTTCTTGGTTAACACATTATAGAAAACATTTCCTTCTCATTTTTGTGCCTTCAAATGTAAATACAGAACTGAGTGTTCACTAAGACCTTCCAGTGTACAATCCACTGCTGTTAGATTGTTATGCCCTTTTGCTAGTTTAAGAAAATTGTTCTTATGCAATATAATCTCTCTTGTCATGTTATTCATATTCTAGACACAACACATCCTGCATTTTGGCAGGGGGTTATACTAGATGACCCTGGTGGTATCTTCTAACCCTATGATTCTATGATCCCCTTTATTTATTTCTTGCCATTATGATGTACTGAGTAACTGATGAAGTAATTTCTCTACCTGTTCTGTCTTCAACATTTCACCTCTTATCTCTCCTTGTTTGTTTCACATCTCAGCTATATACATGCCTTCTTTCCCTATCATGGAAATCTGCTTCCCTTATTCTTGTCAGAGATCAGCCTGAATCAGAGGCTTAGAGCCAAACCCTCTGAAACCCTGAAACTTTTGGAAAGTTTGTGTCCAAACTTCACATCTATGACGGGGCTATCTATGTAATTACCCTGAATCAGAACTTCTCACAACCTTGGGAAGCTTCAGATTTGGAATCCAGGTTGTGTAATTCATGTTGCAATTATAGGTCCTGATCCTGCAAAGGGATTACTTCACTCCTTACTCCTGAGCAGAGTGCCACTGATGGCAATGGGACTGCTGTGGGAGTAAAGGTGTGCACATGCAGATCCCTTTACAGGATCAGGGCCATATAGCTACTTACCTAACTCCCTGTCTGTAATGTTTTTCTTATCTCACCATGTAACATACTGTAACACATGACCCTATTTTTACTTTTTCCTATCAAAACACAGTTTTCCTTTAACAAAAAATGCTGCTCCGCATAACCAGTATTACCTAAAGTTTGGAGGAAAAGGGTTAGGATAAGAGGTTCTGATTGTTATTCTGATTATTATTATTCTTACTTACATTATCAGTCTGCTTTGTTTCCCCATCTTTGTGGGGGAGAGTGGAACTTATTTCAATACTTTACATAATGCGGAGCTAAAACTATAGATTTCTGCAAGGAAAAATAAATTTAAAGATTCATTACTATACACTGGCCCTTTGATGGATTTACAGTGAAATTTAAGGGCCAGATTCTACTTCCAGTTGGACCAGAATAAATCTGGAGTGACTTCTTTGACTTCGGTGGAGTCATTCCAGTTTTATTCTGGTATAACTGAGAGCATGATTCGGCCCTAAGCTGTCAGGACGCATCTTTAAAAGTAGCGATTAAGAAACCAAATCCCAGACATCAATGCTATGTGCTGTTCTCTTCCACAGGATGCAGAAGCCCATGCTGTCATCGGATGCATTGTCATGATTCTTTCTTTCTTTCAACCAGTGATAGCTTTTTTTCGGCCTTCTCCTCAAAGTAAAAGGTATGTACATCTAAGCGATCCAACAGAATGGACTTTTAAACCTGGTCATTTATTAAAAAGACTTACAAAGTTGTCATACTGTAGATATATCAAGTTGGAGCACATATTGTATGTAGGATTTTTAAAGCCAAATCATGAGGTGATGATTTTCTGGAAGTTAGTTGGAGCAAAGAAGCGTGCAACGGCATGAGGAGACAGTCCTTTGAATCCAGCTGCTCACTTCTGGGATTTACGTAGGGCTTCTTTGCAACAAAATAGAAAAATAAGTGTAGTCACTATGGCTTCCACTCACTTTTAAAGGTGATCTACATAAGAGTTTTGTATGCTTGGGGTTTGGTGGGTGTTTTCTGCTACTTTTTGCTATTAGAAATTCACATCCTGTCTATGCTGGAAGACTGAATGGAGAACTAGTGGAATGGTGCTATCACAAGAGTCAATGAGGGAAGGAAGAGATTTTCACTGAGACTGTTTAAAACTCTTATTGTTTGGTTTTGTGAAGACCTACAGAACTCAACGACTAATTCACTATTCTGGAGAAAGAGAGACTTTGTTAAAGATGCAACAATCCAATCCTTTCCATATACAGCCTGGAGGTCCTCCAGCAAACTAAGGGGGCAAGCTAGACTTAGCACATGGTAAACAAACAAAATAACCCTAAAAGCCAAGCAGCAGAAACAAATACTAAGTCTTACCAGCCTTCTTTCTATATTAAAAAGAAGGGAAAGGAAACCAGTCCAGTTAAAAATATCCTCCCTGCTCCACCCAGGGTCTGTGTGGTGGCAATAAGATACTTCCCCCTATTTGAGGATGATCTTCCTTTCCACCACACTGTCTGGTGAGTGTGGCTTGTCCCATTCTGTGTACCTTTCCGCTCCTCCATGCCTGCTTGCTTATCAATATCAGAAGGCTCGCCCTGCCCCCCCCCCACTCCAATGTGGCCAGAGTCTCAATATGACAGAGGATTAAGGTGGGTCTGACTCTCCCTTATCCTTCTACATGACCAGATAAGAGCTGTGGGAACATAACCCCTAAACCCAGATTGCTACTACAGTGGCCTCTCCCTAGAACAAGTGGCGTACTTCGACAAACTGGTGCACATGATCTGCCCATGGCCTTCTTCTAATAAATCCAACCCTTGCAGAATTAACAAGCTATTGCATGACTGATGATTGCTTCTGGATGTTAGGAAAACAGCTTACCCAAGATTTTGATGTCACTGATTTAAGCAATGCTAATGGGTGGTAGCTGAAGTAGTCATCGGTGTACCTACCTTTGGATACAAGGTCATATTAGTTTTCATTTAGACCAAAGAGCTCTATGAGCCTTTTAGGATCTGCAACAACTTATTTGTTATCCATAAAAGATTTTGACTCAAGTGTGTTGATTGGCTCGTTCACTTAAACCACAAATTGGAATGATAGCTCAGATTCATCAGGTCTTGTATTTTCACTTACAAAAAATTGACATCTCACTTCATTGCATTAGCTCTCTTCCAGTCCACTCTTGCTAATACATCTTTCTACTACAGATGAGTCAGAGACAAAACTCTGTATTCAGACACCCTTGAAATTTGGGGAGTGTTAATTTTTTTTTCATGCATTTGAGAGAACAATGAGTCTTGGGAAGTTTTAGGGTCACAACAAGTAATATGTGATGGATTTATCAGACTCTGGACATTCTCTACCGGTACCTACCAGATTGGAATCAGATTGTAAAAGGCAAGTGGGCAATCTTTGGGAGGTAAAGAGAAAGAGCGTGAGTGTGTCTAGAAGGATGAGGAGGGCAGCAGGAGGAAACTGCAAAAAGTGGGAGAAGATGAGAGGATCTTGAAAAGGCTACTTCTTGTGTACAGCATAATAAGCATTCAGTAACAGACTGCAAAAACAATTTTTTTTTTAATGAGAAGTGCCTTTTGCAGTTCTCTACAGGGAAATCCCTCCTGTGTGAGCCATCTGCCATTTCTTTCCTGGCGTTCAGCTGAAAAATGATCTAAAGGCATCTAATACCCTTAAGAACCTACAGTGTTTCCTTGAGGGATTTATTATCTCTTAAGAGTTTTGAAAAACTAGTCTGGCATATTATTTACTGTCTGTGTTTTTGAAGTAAAATTTTACTACGTCGCACTACTGTCACATAAAAGAACAATAATATTTAACACATCATTTCTATTCTACCGACAGGAGATTTATTTTTAACTGGTTTCATGCTCTAAATGCCTTTGTCATAAAAGTCCTGGCTGGTGAGTTGTTGTTTTAATATTTAAATAATGTTGATATAACTACTACAGATTCCCCTTTGGAGTGCCCATATATTCAGACTAGAACTATTGAACTGAGTTTACAATTCCATTTTTAATATTATTCATCTTATTGATCAATTTTTCAGAGGAGGCAGGTCTGGGAGTCAGGATAAGGACTGGTTGAAAAACTTTCATCAAAACTGTGTTTGACAGAAAATTGTTTTGGTTTTTTTATTAAACTTTTTTGTGAAAAGTATCTGCTTCCTACAGAAAATTTTTCATTTAAACACTTTGAAAGTTTTCAGTTGTCAGTTTTGGCTAAAATATGAAATAATTCAATTGAGAAATGCTACCACAGTTCTCATCAGAGTTGTAGTTCAGTTACCTAATGTCCCCATTTTCCTCTTTCAGCCAAGCTCCCAAACTTGACTACATCTCCCATGGTACACCACAGACATGGGACTCCACTGATGCATCAAGATGAGAGATTTTGGTGCATCACGGGAGATGCAGTCTGACCAAAGAATCCTGTCTGGAGAGGAGAATGGGGACATGAAGAACTTAAACTACAACTTCAGTGAGGTGTGCATTTCCAAATTAAACTATTGTGGTTTTCAGCCAGTTTTCAGTTTTTTACCAGTAGGTCAAAACTATTAGTGGAAAATTTCAACGAAAACAATTTTTGTCATTTACATTGACATTTTCCACGGGGGAGGAGGAATGTCCATTTGTCAGGATTCCTGCATTCTATTCCCAGCTCTCCCACCAATTTGCTGTGTTACCTTGAGCAAGTGTCTTAATTTCTCTGTTCTCAGTTGCCCCATTGCAAATTGCTTAAAATATTACAAAGAGCCTGATTCAGAGTCCACTGAGGTCAATTGAAAGACAATGGGTGCTATATCAAGCTCTTACTTCACAAGTATTTAAACTTAATTAGCACTGAAAGGTCTTCCGATGTAAAGTGCAATAATAGTGAAAAATATGATGATGATGATGATGATGATTATAATTATGACTAATAATTAGTGTGGGTTCTTGTGTCATCTAAAGTTAATTCTTAGCATTCTCTATTTTATTTGCCTTAATTATATTTTGAACGTACAGGTAATGCATGGATTCAACTTGAGTCATGAATTTTTAAGCACAAAAAACACAGCAAAAGTAAAGAAACTATAACACCTTAAACATTTTTAGAACATTAATTGAATTTGTGTTTTACCAAATATTGCATTGGCATGAAACTGGAGCATATGGATGCTTTTACATATGGAAGTGATTACTTTTCTAACAGTAACCAGTACACATCATCCTCACAGGGCCATTACAGAGAGTCAGGAGTGGTAGGGAGTGCCATGAACTGGAGATAGAAGAGTCATTATTATCTGTGTGTGACAGGGGGGCCTCTGGGCACTTCTGAAATGCTGAATAAGCACCCATCCTACTCCCCATGCCCTGGCTCCACATGCTGCACTCAGAGCACTTAGTGGTTAAGTGCTTTCCTGAATGAAGAAGAGGCTCCCATCAGCTCTTCTCTCTTTCTTCCAAGTGCAATGCCCTGCCACTCCACTTGTGGCATTCACTTACCCAATCTCCATAGGATCAAAGCACTGAGGTCAGGAGCTAACTATCTGCTTTTACGGCATATAATCTTGGCTGACACACAGGGAATTAAATGGGGGCCGGGGGCAGAAGTTTCTACAGCTTGAGCTGTACCTGATTCATATCCTCTGTAGATTGGGCACAGAGGATCTGTAAAACACACCTACTAGTGGGTTACATCACCATTATTAATGCTGCTTTCCAAGCTTCTGAATAGTATTTCCAGATCAAACAATCACACTTAAAAAATGAAAATGTCCATTGAAATTGTGAATGGAGTCCATAATGATCAATGGTTTTATATCAAGTGTGTGTTGCTTTGTTTTGTTGCTCTTTAGTTGCTGTCATATTTCTGGGACTGCAGATGCTTGACCCCTCTCCCAGCCGATGGATGGTCAAAACTATGGGAGGATTTGTAGGATGGGAGGCATTAGTGTACATAATGCTTGATGCAAATGCTTGGTTGAAAAAGAAAGGTAAAGATCAGCCACAGTTCATATGAAGAAATGTTTTTCTTTTAGCAAAGGCAAGAAGAAAAATGAAGACTCATAATTTTCTTGGTTATATTTTTCAGAGAAATATGAAGATTCACATAGGAAGGTAATGTTGATATCACACATTTTAAAACATTAATGAGGTGTAAAATGTTTTATTTTTCATACTGCTGAAAATACGTTTTGCATCACTTTGGGATGTGATCTTGTCAGATCTCTTGAGTTAACTGGAGTAAAGCTGAGTCAATACTCAAATGGGAAACCACCACACAAAACCCAGGGTGCTGCAGGAAGATGAATTCATAGATTTATTTTTTTAAGGCCTGAATTATGATCACCTAGTTTAGCCTCCTACGTCAGGCCCTTAGTGCATATTTTCAAAAGACCTCCAATCTTGATTTAAAGACTTCAAGTGATGTAGAATCCTCCACATCACTTGGTAAGTTGCTCCATTGATTAATTACAATCACTTTTACAAATTTGCACCTTATTTTCAGTCTTAATGTGTCTAGCTTTACATTTCAACCGTTGGATCTTGTTATATCTTGTCTGCTAGACTAAAGAGCACTCTACTATCAAAAATCTTCTCCATATAGGTACTTATAGACTGTGGTCAGGTCACCTCTTAACTTTCTCTTTGGGTTGAGTTTTCAATTGGTGGCAGTGAAGTGGCACTGAATAAGTGACAGTGATGAGCGCTGGGGACACTGTTGCTGGAGGTGCTGTCTTTCAGATGAGAGGCAAACTGTGATGTGATCCCAAAATATCCCCTGAAACTTTTTGCAAGTGTAGAGTTTCTAACCCCAGTACCCTGTTCAAATTCTAATTTGGATAATTACAATCTGGTTACCTGTACTTAAAACCCTCAAGCATTTTCAATTAGACACACAGCTTCTGCTCTTTTCTCTTTTCCCAGTCTTCTTCAGAGTGACTCCTTCTCTAAATTCCTTCTAGTGTTGCCAAGTGTGTATTGAACTTATCAATTCTATTTAATTATCAACAAATAGAAAACTGATACAGCTGCTTAGTACATACTTGGGCTGTTACTAAAACTGATGTACAAATATAATTTAATTTTATATTTCTTTTAATAACTCTCTTTTAATGTTTTTATCCTTTCTAGATAAAAAATGAAATGGTTCTATTTTTAATATATACATGTGGAAACCTGGCATTTTTAATAGCACTGCTTGTGGGAATTGGAGAATCCTAAAATGGACGGAATTTATCTTGGAGGAATGAAGATTATTCCTATCTTGAGACGCTTCTAGAGTAAATACAAAGAAACAATGAACACTGAATAGATGTTTTAGCAAGTTTTTAATTTTGTTTGTTTATAAATAATATTTTAGGTTCTCTAATTGACACATTATCATTTTCTACACAATAATTGAAAATAATTTTTATAAATGAGATTCCATTAGCTACTTATTGGAGATGTTCTACACAGTATAGTATGATGCAGATAATTATTTCTGACGTGAAAGGTAAGAAGGCAATATATAAATGCTAGGTGTTCACAGTTGTTTCATATTACACTCCTTTCTAACCTTTGTCGATGTTTCCATCTTTAACAAGAGAGGATTTGTTTGTGTAGAGAAAAGAAAGTTGAGGATCTGATTTTCATATGACTAATTTAGACTGAGAACTTCACAGGCAAATCTCTGTGCCCACCAGAGTCCTGTTGGCTTCAGGATTTCAGTGAGGCTCAGTGCAGGCTCAGAGGTCCATCGGCAAGGTTCCCAGTACAAGGTCAGGGCTACAGAGCATGTCTACACAGGAGCTGGAAGGTGTAATTCCAGCTCAAGGAGATAGACCTGTGCTGTCTCTGATCAAGCTAGCACTCAAAAAAACAGAAGCGTCGTCATGGCAGCACAAGCAGCAGAACAAGGTAGCCACACTGAGTACATACATATGGTCTTGGACAGGATCGTACTTGGGGCACCTAGCCCATGCCGCTCTCATGCCACAGTTGCCATACTTCTTTTTTTAGCATGCTAGCTTACTCAGAGCTAGCTTAGCTAAGTCTCCTCGAGCTGGAATTTATACCTTCCAGCTCCCGTGCATACATATTCCCAGACTGTAGGCTTCTGTTCCCATTGATGTCAACCAAAAAACTCCCTCTGACTTACATGGTGCAGGATCCGACCTATAGTCAGTGCCTGGCTGTGTTCATGTTTGTTCAGATTTAATGGGTATTTCTAATATAATTCCCTGTTTTCAAATGCTCATAACTTTCTTTTTTAGTCTGAAAATAAGAACATGAGATTACACAATGAAACTTTAAAATGCAACTATGTTTTGAAAATTGTAAAGGTCCCAGAACCCATGATGTACTCTATATAATCTTCTTTTTTATTAATTATATTTGATTATAGTTTTTATAATGCAATATACATATGATGAATAATAAAGCAGGTCTCAAAACAGGCTAACTAGTCCATAACCTTCAGTTGTGTACAGACATATTATATAGTCATCTACTGGATAGAATGTATATAGGGCCCAAATTCTGCTCACCTGCCTCATATGAATGGTCCCACTGAACTTCAATGGGATTTGACCCATGATGGATACTTTTGAATTTTTGGTGAAATATATTTATAACACTTAAGATATTAAAAACAGTTATCAAAAGAATGACACAATGTACCTTAGACTTAGAAGAACCCATTGATTATCGTGCTATAGGCCTTTGGATGAAAAATGGCTTTATGGAATTTATAGGATTGCAGCTTTTATGCAATAATATATTGTCAGAGAAAAACTTCCACAATATTATCCCTTTTGTCACTGCTGAGATAATAAAGCAATATCACTGCATACAACTGTTTTATGCAGTGTTGTTGTAGCCATGTTGGTCCCAGGATATGAGAGAGACAAGGTGGGTGATGTATTATCCTTTATTTGACCAACTTCTGTTGGTGAGAGAGACAAGCTTTTGAGTTTACACAGAGCTCTGGGTAAGTACCTGAAGAAGAGCTCTGTGTAAGCTCGAAAGCTTCTCTCTCTCACCAACAGAAGCTGGTCTAATAAAAGAAATTACCTCCCCCATCTTGTGTCTCTACCACTGTATTATTTTTTTTAGCCAAATAGTAGGTTTGTGGTGTTATCCAAATATCTAAAGAACAAGTTTATAATGTGTAGTTCTTTAAAAACAAAAGCACCGTACTTCTAATTTCCATGCCAAGAAAACATGAATTTTTAAATGATCCCAAATGATGTTGCTTTGTGCCTACAATCAGGGGAAAGGAATAGAACTATGAAAGTGACAGAGGCCTAAAATCCAAGAAGTAAGATGCCTTTCCACTAACCCAAATCTGAATTGAATGCAGCTGATCCCAAAGCTGAGTTCTCAGGAATGCTAAATTATGGGACATATGCACATTTTCACCCACTTCTTTCTTACATGAAACACAGAATTATATTCAGTTTTTTCTTTGAGAATTCTGTTACTGTTTTGGGAGAAGTACAGATCGTGATTTTTCTACATATCCAGTAATCTGGCCCACATTTGCATGGTATAGATGCATTTGTCATGCCCCTCGTCTCAGACTTATGGCTACAGTTATAACTGCTGTTATTGTTTTTTCCATCCAGTTGTGATACTCTATTTGAATGAATGGTTGCAATAACCCATGCTGAGCCACACCTACTCATAGTCTGGACTGTGTATGTCACCATTGTTTGATCCTTTGAAAATAAAGGAAAATACAATAAAAGTGCCGAAACATCCTTAGATGTAGGCTGTGCAAACAATACTATTATATTGTTATGGCCAATGTGGTAATGAAATGTATTTTCTGGAGTTATTGCAATGGTTCCCAAACCCCTGGTCTGTGAACCACGGAGGGTCAACAGCATACTTGGTGGTGGTTGCCAGCTAGCCAGCTGGTGGTCACTTTGGTGTTAGGTCTCCAACTTGTTTCCAGCTGCTAATTCTAATTAAAAGATGCATTAGTTATTTTCCTAATACCGTTTTTCAGTATAAGTTATTGCTGTGGTTACATTATGTACTCATGAATGGGAGGGGAGGTGTCCACAAACAATCTTTCTTTCATAGTGCAGATCACATCAAAGTTTGAGCCATTGACTTGGTGTATTAGATGAATAGTTGGTATGAAGTGCTCCATAAAAGGGTTTGACAAGCTTACCTCAGAATCAAGATGACCTGGCCACAGCAGTCATCAAGGGGGTCATTCAGGGTACTGGGTGGAGTGCTTGTTACTTGTATTAATGGCCAAACCTATTGGCAAAAATATGTACAAAGGCCTTTATGTTGGATGGCTTTGACTATGCTACATTTCTTGCCAGAACAATCCCCACTTTTGCTACCACCATTTGAGCTCCCTGAATGAGAGCCCTGTTATATACATGTTATCTAGACCTGTTCTGAATGGTATTCGATGATATGGTGATATAATGGCAGCTCCTTGTTTACACTAGTTCAAGTCCACAAGTCATAGCAACAGTAGGAAATTCAGGAGGAAAAGGCTAGTGCAGGCAGTGCCTTAAAGATTGACATGGGTCCTTCTTTGTCAGCAAGAGGACCTAGGTGAACCAGCACTGACCCAGGAGAACTGGGAAAACCAACTTACGCAACGCATCCATGACCCTATGTGAAAATTAAGTGCTAGGCCAGACGGTTTCCTTAGGGTGTGTGTATTTGGTGGTGACTGAGATACAGACAAGTAAGACACAGGATCAAAAATGTTGGAAGCAGGATCCAGACCCAGAATCAGATTGTGAAGCTGCTGATGAAGGGCTGGGATATAGGTGTTTTGGCTGGATTAGAAAGTAGAACAGCTGGTGTGCAGATTTGCTGCTGTTTGCCATCTTTGTGCAGGGTGAACAGAATGTGTGTTCATATTATTGATTTTTTAAAAAAATAAGAAGAAATCTCCTGTGTCTGGGCATCACTTATCAATCTCTGCCCTAAAGAACAGACCCATTGTAAAGTTCCACCTTCCACCCATGCAAATGAGATAGTGATTATTTTATTTGTATTATTAGCATTTCTAAGGTGCCTACTGTCATAGCCTCAGGATAACTGCATGTATATCCCCCGGCCCCCTCCATGGTCCACTCCACAAATGCCTTTCAGGTCTCCAGCCATCACCTGTCTCTGGGCAGGGACCCTTGTCCCATTCCCTTCTGACTGGCTGCATAGCACCTTGCCTTACACTGTGATGTCCCCAGAAAGCCAGTCTGCCTAACAGCTAGTGCCTGTGCATTGCTTTCTATCTCTAAGGGCTATGACCAGTGTATTGCCAGCAGTCAGGAGTTACTAAGCAAGCATATTTATTCTTAAGGTAAAAGCATTACACAGAAAACATAAAAACAATAAACAGATTTAAACCCACACTCAACATAGCAAGAGTTGACCATCAGTCTTATGGGGCCTGAGTAGGCCAAAGTCTTTGCAACCCTTCCACAAGAAGGTACTGTCCATTTGCTGGATTAGAAAGAAGGTCCTGAGTCAATTTAACTCCAGACTTTTTATATCAAAATCCCTTTCTTTTTCTGTGGGTCTCTGGAAGACCCAATTTGAACCAGAATATGCAAGCCTTCCCAGGGATGGTACCTCTCTAGAGAGGAATACAACCTAAGCGATTCACCTTAATCATCCCCCCACTGTTTTTGGTTCTTAGAGGAGCTGTGGTAACCCTCCCTGCTGGAACTGCATACAATCCCTGGCTCACAGTGATACATAAACCATTCATAAAGTGAATGCAATACAGTCCCCAAAGATATTGCACAGGGTTGCAATATCTGTCACACCTATATCAATGTATGGAGGTACCATTACATAGCTTTAGAAAAACAACACTTCCTTATGGGGAGGGAAGCAACAAATAATTATCATTGGGGTGTGTAGCATCCAGCCATGAGTCTACAAATATTAATCAGAAAATGGAAGGAAATCTTGGCTTGAAAAACCCTTCTGAGAATACCAAAGTCCACTCTAGAACACAGGACCTCAAGTGTGTCATGGGACACAATTAACTTGTGCCAGTTACTGTCTTCATTATCTCATTATGTACAGCTCTTACAAATATTGTATGAGGGCTGTATGTACAACTCCTACAGCAGGGGGATGCTGTAACCTGGCTTTCAGATCTTGCCCTGCCGCTTTCTCTTCCCTCACCTATGGAGAGCTTTTCACTCCCCCACTCAATAGTTAGCAACATCTGGCTGCCTTTGTCTTCACTCTTCCAATAGGAATCTGCAGCTGGGCCGACTGTTCTCTCCTGTGCTGAGGACAGTAACAGCACCCAGCCATCTCCTCCTCCCTCTCCTCTGGCTAAACAGAGGAGGAGGGAGAGGGATTATTACCTGTGGAATGCGGCAGATCAAACCTTCTGGTTTGGTAATAATTGCTGCATGCCAAGGAGGTTAGCAATAAAAGTTCCCTGGTGTGTGTTACTGTAGTACTGCTTGAAACAGGGTACCACC